CCTGAAAAGGCAGAGGGTCTGCTGAGCTGTTCACATTTACTCTGTCTGCAGATGGCAGAGCTAAAAGAACACTGTAACACTCCCTCTGAGGCTTCAGGGGTTGCAGGCACCCCACCAGACACTGTCCTGGGGCATGCAAGGAGTTTGCTCCTGCTGGTGCCCAAAAGTGCTCACCCTGGCTCCTGCGCCTGCTCACCTGGGTGCTCCCTCCCATAAGGGGTAGAGCACAGTGGGTCCAAATGAGTGGAGTTCACTCCTGCTGGTGATGAAGTGGCCAGCTGATTCCAGGGCTTGTATACTCCACTTTCTGCCGCATTTGCTCATGAGCACCCTCCCGCGAGGAGTTGAGAGCTGTGGGCCGAGTAAACAGTAAACACCTGTTGCAAGTCCTGCAAAAGGGGTCAGGGAAATATCCTGCTTCAATAAAACTGTTTTAAAATTGATTTGCATCCCTTTTATTCCTATAGAGATGATCTCTGACATTAGAATCATAAGGTCTTTGTTTAAGGATCACTTAAGATTTTTTCAGACCCAAATTTCAGCAACCAGTTTGGAGGCCCCCACAGAAGAACTGGATCACCAAGAAAACACAGCTGCTTCACCTCCCTGTCCCATGACTTCACCCTGCACTCTTCAACCAGTCAACACTCTCCATACTTAGGCCCACTCCAAAGCCCTAAAGACTGTAGCCCCAAACTCGTCAGACAGATAGATTTGAAGTTCCCTCACATTTTCTCCTTTGGTGACCCTATGGGTAAATCCTTTATCTGCTACAACTCAGTGTCTCCGGCACTGGTCACAGAGTGCCTTCTCACACACAAGAGCAAAACTGAGTGTGAGCTACGTTTTATTCCACAAGCACCACTGGCATCAGCAGATCCAGCTACAGATTTAGTGCCTATAATCAATGTCACAGACCATCAGCTTGCTTTGTTGAGAAGATTCTATCCTAATAAACACACTGTTAAGACTAACATTCCCAATCCACAGGACCTAGAGTAAAAGAAAATTCAGGCTACTATAGAGAATAGGCAAATGAAAGATGAAAAAAGGAGGGACAGTCATTAGCAGTATTGAGCACCTGTGCTTTGCCAGGCACTGTGCCACTTGGGATCATGCAGCCTTCATGAAAATTTGTGATAAGTATTATCATCATCCTTTCCTTCCTTCCTTCCCTGGCACCTTCCTTCTTTTCTCCTTTCCTCCTTCCCTGAGTCAATCAAAAAGCCATCTGACAACCTCCCTTTCTCTCCCCTTCAAGGGAAAAGGGGCTTTTACAGCAGAGGCAGAGGAAGAGGCTGGAAAGCCAAAGAAGCAACTAGCATGCTAGGGAGATGAGTCACATACAGGGGAACTGAGGGCGGAAAAAAGAAAATGATAGGCTGCTCCTTTAACCTGGATCCCAGGGCCAACCACAGGAGCAACGGCAAGAAACATGAGTAGAAATTAACCTTTGTTGGGGCAAGCCACTGAGATTACATGGTCATCTGTGTGAAAGGAAGATAAATCTCGAGGTCTCAAAATCACAAGCTAAAGGGAAAAGTCAAGCTGGCAACTGCTTAGGGCAAACCTGCCTCCCATTCTATTCAAAGTCACCCCTCTGATCACTGAGATAAATGTATATCTGATTGCTCTTGCGGAAAGGGAAATCAGAAACTTGAAAGAATGCGACCATTTGTCTATTTACCTATGACCTGGAAGCCCCCTCCCCACTTCAAGATGTCCCACCTTTCCAGAACAAACCAATGTTCATCTTACATATGTTGATTGACGTCTCATGTCTCCCTAAAACATACAAAACCAGCTGTACTCAGACCACCATGGGCACGTGTTGTCAGGACCTCCTGAGGCTGTGTCATGGGTGTGTATCCTTAACTTTGACAAAATTAACTGTCTAATTTAAGACCTGTCTTAGATTTTAGGGGTTCACACTGGTTACCCACAGCAAGCTGGGTCTAAACTGACTAATAAAGTAACTGGTAAATAATTTCTGTGCTTTGAGTGTGAATACAGCCTGTCTATCTCATATCAAAGCTCATGCTCTTTCCACTTGATATATAGAATTATTTATTGACTTAAAAACCATTTTATTGATGGTCTTTTTAGAATTCAGCTGTTCCGAGCTTGTCCACTTCTCAGCACTTAGGGAGACTTTCACCTTGTCATCCTTTTTAGTCCTCTTACTCCTATTTGCAGCAGAATGATTATTCCACCAATACTGTGGATAAGGTGGCCTAGTCTGAAAAATATTTCAACTACAAATACTTAAAAATGCAGGATAAAATATGGCTGAGCTAGCAAGAAAGTAAGAGAGATAATCCAAGAAATTTAAATTGCTCTGAAATACTAAAGGACTGAAAATGGAATGAGACCAGGAACCCAAAGAAAGGTTAAATAAAATAAAATAAAGGTTAAATCAAATAAAGCTAATGACTGTTTGAAGGGCAGGGCAGATCTAGACTGCTGGGGATTAAAGATACACAGACACATGTGTGCACACACACGCACACACACAAGCATACATATATACACACATATAACATATACAGGTGTACATATACCTATTTATTTTGAAAGTTTAAGACTTAAAGTTGCAAAAATAATACAGAGTTCCTGTGTTACCCTTCACCTAGTTTCTGCAATGATAATGTCTTACATATTCATAGTACTTTGGTAAAACCAGGAAACTTGATACTGGTACAATACCGTTAATACAGGTATAGATCTTATTTGTGTTTTACTAGTTTTGAATGTACCATTTTGTGTTTTCGGTGTATAGCTCTATGAATTTTATCACATGTATAGATATGAGAAATTGTCAACACAAAGAAACTCTGTTGTGGTACCTCTTAAGAGTCATGCCCTTGTCCCAACCATAACACTTGGCAATCATGGATGCGTTCTTCATTGCTATAATTTTTGGGGGGGGCTTTGAGAATGGTATCTAGATGGAATCATAAAGTATATAACCCTTTAAGATTGGCTTTTTAAAACTCACCACAATGCCCTTGAGATTCATTCAAGTTGTATGTATCAATATCTCTTTACTTTTTATGGCTGAGTAGTGTCCCATGGCATGGATGTACCCAAGTCTGCTTTCTATCCACTCACTAAGGACTGTTTGGCTTGTTTACAGTTTTTGACTATTAAAACTAAAGCCACCATGACATTCATGTACAGAATTTTGTTTGAACATAAGTTTTGGTATTTCTAGGATAAATACTCAGTAGTGTGATTACTGGGTGATACGATAAGCATACGTGCAAATTTATAAGAAACTGTCAAACTGTTTTCTAGAGTGGTTATGCCATTTTATGTCCTACCAGCAATGTATGAGAGATCCGGTTGCTCTGCCTCCTCACCAGCATTTAGTGCTGTCAGTACTTGATATTTTTGCCATTTTAATAGGTGTGCAGTAGAATCTCATTGTGGTTTTAATATGCATTTCCCTAATGGCTAATGACACTGAACACCTTTTTACATGTTTATTTGCCATCTGTATACCTTCTTTGGTGAAATGACTATTCAAGCCTTTGATCCATTTTCTAACTGGACTGTTTGCTTACTTACTCTGAGTTTAGATGGTTCTTTATATATTCTGGATATGAGTCCTTTGTTGAATACATGATTTACAAATATTTTCTTCTAGTCAATGGCCTGTCTTTAAGCCTTAGTGTTAATTGCCATGAAGGCACCGTGAATGTCTAGACCTCAGGAAAGGTGCAGAATGGGGTCCTCTGGATATAGCCAAGTCATCTGAAGAGCTTTACCCTCAGAACAGGAGAGCTAGAAAAAATTCTACACAGCCAAAGAAATAAATAGCAAGCTGAAAGACAGATCTGAAGAAGTTAGCCAGATGTGGCTCAGAGTAACAAAAAGATGGAATATTTTTAAAATAATAATTTAAGGCCAGGCACAGTGGCTCACTCTTGTAATCCCAGCACTTTGGGAGGCGGACATGGGTAGATCACAAGGTCAGGAGTTCGAGACCAGCCTGGCCAACATGATGAAACTCCATCGCTACTGAAAATACAAAACTGAGCCAGGCGTGGCGGCGGGCGTCTGTAATCCCAGCTACTTGGGAGGCTGAGACACGACAATTGCTTGAACCCAGGAGGCAGAGGATGCAGTGAGCCAAGATCAAGTCACTGCACTTGAGCCTGGGCAACAGAGCTAAACTCAATGTCAGAATAATAATAATAATAACTTAAAACCTCAGAAGGCTTAACCTGTATCTAACAGGAATTCCAGGAGGAAAGTCTAGAGCGATGTTGTCCAATACAGTAGTAGCCAATAGCTACATGTCACTACTTAAAATGTAAATTAAGTAAAAGTAAATAAAGTTAAAAATGCAGTTCCTTGGTTGTACTGGCCACATTTCAGATGCTCAATAGCCACATGTGGTTGGTGGCTACCATACTGGACAGTAGAGATATAGGATATTACAGAAAGTCCTATTGGACAGAGCTGATCTAGGCCATAAAACAAGTCTGAACAAATTTCAAAGAACTGGTATCATACAGATGTTTTGTGGAAATAAACTATACATTAGAAAACAAAAACAAAATAACTACTACTGCCTCCTCTCACCTTTTCCCCATTACAATTCCACCTCTTAATGTCTTCAAGTTCTTGATGAGCAGAACGTCCCTACTGCGTTCCACGGCACTAAGTTCCCCAGAACCCGCCAATGTCTGATGACAGAACATCCTTGACTACCCAGCTCCACACCCCACCCACGAAGTTCTCTAAAACACTGACCATGACATGGGGTAGGTTTCCACTTTCACATTCTGACCATAATTCTCAACTCGATGCAGTCAGAGTCTGCGCAACCTGGGACTTCGAGCCAAGAAATCCTCAAGTGGCCTTATTTGGCAAAACCAACAAAACAACCAAATACAGTTTTCGAGCGATTTACAGCTCGGTACTTCTCACCCACTCGGTCACCGGCCGCGAAGCAGCCGCGCGGCGCTGCGGCCCCGCCTCGCTATGACGTCACACGAGGCGCCCCGAAGTGGCGGTCAAGCTTGAGGCGTCATCCGGCTGCGCCTAGTGGGCCGTTGCCTTACAATTGTTGCGAGGAGGCGAGAGGCGGGGACGCTGGGGCCAAGATCATGTCTGACTGGGAGAGGTTTCCTTGGCAGCAGAGGACGCTAGGTTTGGGATGAAAGAAGCTGGGCAGATGCAAAATCTGGAGAGCGCGAGGGCCGGGCGGTCAGTCAGCACCCAGACTGGCAGCATGACAGGTGAGTGTCCGGGACCCTGCTCCCGCCACCCTACCTTTCGCTCTGCCCTGTGCGTCTCCCGTCACTGAACTCCAGATTCCTTGCCTGCCCCTCTTTGGCTCCCCTGCTGCTTCTGGAAGTCTCCTCCCCGCCCTCTGCGTGTCCCCTCCTCGGTCACTCGGACCGCTTGGCTCGGTCGCACTGGCTTTTGAAGTCTCGCTCTTTACCCTGGTTACTGTTCCTCACAGGACCTAGAGCTGGGGTTTCTGGGGTCAAAGAGCCTGAACATATCCAAACCGCGCTTTTGCCTTGATTTCCAAATTAACTGCACGTGACGCTTTCCTGTATTTCGTCTGCTTTACCGTCGAGGGCCACTGTATTTTTTGGGCTATATTCTAATCACTTCCCTTGTAGCAACGCCCCATCACAGTTCAAAGGAAAGCTTGCACCACGACGACATCAGATGCGAAGACTTTCTTGCTTTGGGTTGTTCCCCCAGCTACGTGTATTCGCTGTATCTTTTTTTCCTACAGGGTGAGCGCTGGAGAAAGAGGGCCCAACTTTTTTTTTTTTTTTTTTTTTTTTTTTGAGTCGGAGTTTCGCTCTTGTTACCCAGGCTGGAGTGCAATAGCGCAATCTCGGCTCACCGCAACCTCCGCCTCTTGGGTTCAGGCAATTCTCCTGCCTCAGCCTCCTGAGTAGCTGGGATTACAGGCACGCGCCACCATGCCCAGCTAATTTTTTGTATTTTTAGTAGAGACGGGGTTTCACCATGTTGACCAGGATGGTCTCGATCTCTTGACCTCGTGATCCACCCGCCTCGGCCTCCCAAAGTGCTGGGATTAGAGGTGTGAGCCATCGCGCCCGGCCTGGGCCCAACTTTTTAAGTGGAGAAGGAGGTCGCCGCGACTGAGGCTGAAGGTCTCCTGCTAACACACCTCTGACTCTCTTTTCCTCGAATCCTTTTCTATGCCTCATGCAAAAGCAGTTGGGCTTAGGCTGCAGCACCCAAGTGACATTGAGATTAGCTCCCTTTTTCATCATTAGTAACACATTTTTAAGTGTTTGCCCTCTCTTTTGTAGGTCAGATACCAAGGCTTTCTAAAGTCAACCTTTTCACTCTGCTCAGCCTCTGGATGGAGCTCTTCCCAGCAGTAGAAGCCCAGAAGCAAAAATCTCAGGTATAATTTGTTTCATAGTTTTTCCCCTTAGAGAAACAGTGATTTACAATCTGACTTTATTGCTCCAGTTTCTGTCATACCTAAAACCAAACTTAACAAGCCTTAACATTTTAAAAATACCTTTATTGTTTAACATGACACTTTATAACTCCTAGCTGTAGTAAGTCATCTTCCATTGTAAAAATACTTTCCAAGACTGCTGTATTTATCAGGTACTAATTATATTTATATGTCAGTTTGGCTAATAAGATTATTGTCTATACCACATAATTTCTCCCAATAAGATATACTGTTGGTGTTTTATCTAGGTAGGTTTACCCCTCTGCCACAGAAATAAATAAATTGCCTAGAGATAGAGACCATGTCTTATTTTACCTCCTATATACCCTTCAGTGTCTACCATTATATGAAGGCTGATTGGTGTATGCTGGATGAAAGAAGTCTCTTTGGATCTTGAAATGATCAAAATAGATTAGAAATGGGCCGGGCGCAGTGGACCACACCTGAAATCCTAGCTCTTTGTGAGGCTGAGGCTGGCGGATCACCTGAAGTCAGGAGTTCAAAACCAGCCTGGGCAACATGGTGAAACCCCGTCTCTACTAAAAATAGAAAAATTAGCTGGGTGTGGTGGCACGTGGCTGTAGTCCCGGCCACTCAAGAGGCTAAAGCAGGAGAATTTCTTGGACCTGGGAGGTGGAGATTTCAGTGAGCCAAGATCGCTCCACTGCACTCCAGCCTGGCAACAGAGCGACAGAGTGAGACTCCTTCTCAAAAGAAAAAAAAAAAAATAGCCAGGATTGGTGGTGCACACCTGTAGTCCCAGCTGCTCAGGAGGCTGAGGGATGAGAATCGCTTGAACTCGGGAAATGGAGGTTGCAGTGAGCTGAGATTGTGCCACTGCACTCCAGCCTGGGTGACAGAGCAAGACTCCATCTCAGAAAAAAAACACAAGATCAGAAATGTATAGTAACAATAATCATAAAAGCCAATATATTGGAAGTATGGACATCCTACGTCTTGTCTTGTCTTCTACCCTTGGGGAAACAAGGTGCTAGGTTCTCATTTTCCTCCATGCTTGGAATGGCATGGTGCTAGGTTCTCATCATTTCTGTTTGGTAATTTTGGAAGCTTATGGTGTTGGCATTAATGGTTATAGGGGGCCATGGCCATTGGAAAATAGTATTAGGTTAGGTTGAGCATTTAAGACATTTTTGAAAACAGAGATAAAAGGGCAGAGAGGGGCCAGAAAATTACCTATGGTTTCTCACCACTGTAACATTACTGTTAACATTTTGGTACTTCCAATCTTAAGCATGAGGTTTTTTATTTTACAAAGCTGTGATTATATTCTGCATGTACTCACTGAGGTTTCCAACTTGCCAATAATTCTGCTAAAAGTTTTTTAAAATTTTCCAGAGAAAGGCTATAAATCCTTAAATTCCCACAGTACTCTTAGGAGATTTTCTTTTCATTTTACTGTGGATGAGGTTTTGTGCTTGGCATTGGAGACACAAAGCAGAAAAAAACATGGTCCTTATTTTCTAATGAGAAGAAACACTAGGCATTTAAACAATTAAAATAGAATTAGATCGTGGAGCGAGTACACAGTATAAGCAGAGATACTGGCAAGACTGGAAGCAAAGCTCTATATGGGAAAGTGAAGGAAGGATTCAGAGAAGGTCGTATTTGCACTGAGACATGAAGAATATGTGGACATTTGCCCACGCCCAGGAACTCTAGAGGGAAAGCTTGGAGGAGTCAGAGAATTTGTGGTCCTCAGGCCAGAGAATGAAGTTAGGTGGAGGGAAGAGACTGGAAAGGATCTTGTAAATGTAGACAGGAATCATATTGTAAAAAGCATTGTATGCCTTGCAAAGTTTAGATTTTATCCTATCAATATAGGAATTGCATTGAGGAATTTTAATGAGATGTGAGGATATTCACTTCTTATAAAAAAGTGATATCTCTTGGCGTAGTTTCCTCCCCCACTTCCTATGTGAAGTGTTTTATAGATAGTAAAACATTATTTAAAATATTATGCATTGTTATTCCATATTTCTCACCCTCATCCCCTACTCTGGCTCCACATTTTACTAATGGCTTTGAAAAGGCTCTTTATTTCCTTCATGAATTTTGAAGTTCTTTTATTCCTTCTACTTGTTAACAACTTAGTATTATTTTATGAAAGTAGGTTTCTAGGCCGGGCACGGTGGCTCAAGCCTGTAATCCCAGCACTTTGGGAGGCCGAGGCAGGTGGATCACGAGGTCAAGAGATCGAGACCATCCTGGTCAACATGGTGAAACCCCGTCTCTACTAAAAATACAAAAAATTAGCTGGGCATGGTGGTGCATGCCTGTAATCCCAGCTACTCAGGAGGCTGAGGCAGGAGAATTGCCTGAACCCAGGAGGCGGAGGTTGCGGTGAGCCGAGATTGTGCCATTGCACTCCAGCCTGGGCAACATGAGTGAAACTCCGTCTCAAAAAAAAATAAAATAAAATAAAATAAAATAGGTTTCTAAGCTGTCAGGGACTTTGGTTTTTTTTTTTTTTTTTTTTTTTGCTGATAAATTTATTTTGAAGAGCCAGATTAGAAGCAAATATTTAGAGATTTAAGACTTTTTTAAACTGGACATATTAGAGATTGAATAAAATTTTTGAAGAAGCTTTCTTTTTCAAGTATCTAGATTTGATCTCATTTTAGCTCTATTTTTTTACATACATACCACATCCTATGTTGAAATTTTTTTTTCAACAGATAGGCACAAGTTCTATTTAATTAGTGATAAATGATATTTATGTTTCTGTTAGGAAGGGATTGATTGCCCAGCTAATTGTTGAAGTTTGTTTGCAAATAATACATACCCTACTGTTTCCTCATACTTTACAGAAAAAAGTATGTATCCGAGAAAACTGAGATAAAGCTTTCAGTTAGCATTTTGGTAAAAAAAATACTACAAGTAAATTTCAAAACTATATTAACAACAAGATTTTATACAACTTTCTATCGTGTTTAACAAAAGATCAGGGTTATGACTCTGTTTTCTCCCAGTGATGCCTAGTTTTCCTGGCATCTCATTCCTTCATCAGGTGGGCACCGTGGACATTTTTTTTAAATGAAAGAAGTCTTCTGTTTCAAATATTTTATTTGGGATCTTATTTAGAATCTGACTTATACTCATGTCTATTTAAGGCTTTTATTTTGTTTTGTTTTTGTTTTTGATTTTTGGAAATGCAGTCGTGCTTTGTTGCCCAGGCTGGAGTGCAGTGGCATGATCTTGGCTCACTGCAACCTCCACCACCCGGGTTGAAACAATTCTTCTGCCTCAGCCTCCCGAGTAGCTGGGACTACAGGCGTGCGCCCTCATGCCTGGCTAATTTTTGTGTTTTTAGTAGAGACAGGGTTTTACCATATTGGCCAGGCTGGTCGCAAACTCCTGACCTCGTGATCCACTCGCTTCAGCCTCCCAAAATGCTCGGATTACAGGCATGAGCCACCGCCACATGGCCTATTTAGAGCTTTTAAATGGAAGGTTAAAACACATAGAAATGAGTACAGAAGATATCAAAACAAAGAACATTCATGTCTTCAGAAAGCCAGGCAACCTGGAAGTAGGATTGACTTGGCTGTATGAAAGGTTATCACACTTAGCTCCTGGTCCTGGAGCTTGCCCAGCTCCTATTCACTGCATTGGTGTCTTTCCAGCTCTGCTCCCACACCCATGCCTCCTAGGACTACAACCCTCTCACCCTGGTCTTGGGTAGGCCTCCACTTCTGTTCTTACCTATAGGCCTTGGGACTCAACAGGCACTTGTGGAGGGGAAGCCTCAGGATTATTCCAGCAATTATCTTATGAGTGAAATAGGCTTTTGCATGTTAGCTTGGGAACTTGACTGCCATCTTTAACATTGTTTATATGAGAAAAATGTGGTTTAAATTCCAAAAAAGCAGATTTAGCAAATATTTAGAACATGATTGCAGATTGTTAATTACTTGTATATTTAATGTCAATAAAGCAGGAGTATATAATTTAATTAGTTCTTCTGATATCATGGCTATTGTAAAAAAGTGAGAGCAATAATAGTGTGGGGGAAGAATACAGAATGAAAGGGAGTATAATGTACTCCACTTTTATAGGGTATTTATTTATTTTACAAACATTGTCATTGAAACTGAAGACAATCTTTAGCTACATCATTTTCAAAATCAAACTATATTTTTTTCTCTTGGATTCCCTTTTTGTGCTAGTTAATATCCACATAATTTTGCAGGTAGTTGCAGTCATTGCAGGAATACAATTTTGTATTTGCCAGTTTTTGTACTGTTACAGGGTTGATAAGTTATTAATTTTAAATTATACAATAAGAATACATCTAAATTTCATGTACGTATAGTATATGCTGCCATTGTGTTTATACTTGTAGAAATATTAAATCCTCGAAATATTACCCAATTTTTGTGCCTAATATTTCTTTACCATTTACTATAGTATATTTTTTCCAGTATTAATTGCACATGATATTCATAGAGTTGAGTAAGAACTTTTTCCTATTAAGAGAAAAAAAATCTTCTTTAAGCTAAAGTAATGATTGTTTCACTTAAATTCTTAATTTTTAATTATTATTATTTTTTTTTTTTGAGATAATCTCACACTGTCTCCCAGGCTGTAGTACAGTGGTGCCATCTCAATTCACTGCAATCTCCACCTCCTGGGTTCAAGCAATTCTCCTGCCTCAGCCTCCCAAGTAGCTGGGACTACAGGCATGTGCCACCACACCCAGCTATTTTTTTTGTATTTTTAGTAGAGACGGGGTTTCACCATGTTGGCCAGGATGGTGTCAATCTACTGACCTAATGATCCGCCTGCCTCAGCCTCCCAAAGTGCTGGGATTATAGGCGTGACCCACTGCGCCCCGCCATTTAAATTCTTTAGTCTGTTTTTGCTGTACAGAGTAAATCATAGAAACACCAAGATGCAATTAGACATGTAATTGTACTGGAAATATTGCTTTTGATACTTTATCAACCTTTTGTCATACTAAAAGTGTTTTTATGAGTTACCAAAATAATATATGTTTGTTATTTTTTAAATGAACAGAAGAAAAAAATTTCTCATAATTCTACCTCCTAAAAACTAATTACTTTTTAAAAATTGTTTCTCAATCTTTTTTCTCTTATTTTTCTTTACTTATATGAGATCATTTAACTCTGGATCCTGCCCTTTTCACTTAACATAAGAAAATACTTACGCTAAATAAACATTAGAGCATCACCTTAGTCTAGCGCTTTAGAGTAGCCAGTGGTTTTGTAGCCACCCTGCTTGGATTCAGATTCTGGCTCCACCTCTTACTAGTTGTGTAACTTTGGGCAACTTTACCTCTCTGTGTCAGCTTCCTCATCTGTAAAATGAAATGTTACTAGTATAAACTACATGAGGCTTTTATGAGAAATGAATGAGTTAATATTTGTAAAGCTCTTAGCGCCTGGCCCATGTTAGGTACTATGTGTTTTTTTAATCATTATTTTAATAATTGCATAACAATCAGTTGTATTGATAAACCTGTCTATTCCCCTGTTACTGGATACTGAAACTGTCTGTAATTTTTAATAGACTTAGTGTATTATTAACATATAACCACTTCCAAATATAACTGATACAAGCTTTCCTATGTTGTCAAATATTTACACTCTATGGGTACTCCTTAAAGATTGTTCAGCAAGGTACACATTGAGTTTAAAAACTAATAATTTTTTAATGATAATAACAATTATGATTTATTGAGTAACTATTATCTGCCAGACACTGTGCTTAACATATATTGTCTCTTATTTTTTCTTCAACCTTTATTTTAAGTTTAGGGGTACACATGCAGATTTGTTTCATAGGTAAATGTATGCCATGGTGGTTTGCTGCACAGATCATCCCATCACTTAGATAGTAAGCCCAGCATCCATTAGCTATTCTTCCTGATGCTTTTCTTCCTCCCACCATTCCCCCTCTGACAGGCCCTAGTGTGTGTTGTTACCTACCATGTGTCTATGTGTTCTCATCATTTAGCTCCCACTTATAAGTGAGAACATGTAGAATTTGGTTTTCTGTTCCTGTGTTGAAAACCAAGTTTTTTTTTTTTTTGAAACTGACTCTTACTCTGTTGCCCAGGCTGGAATGCAATGGCCTGATCTTGGCTCACTGCAACCTCTGCCTCCCAGGTTTGAGCTATTCTCCTGCCTCAGCCTCCCTAATACCTGGGATTACAGGTATGTGCCACTATGCCTGGCTAATTTTTGTATTTTGAGTAAAGATGGGGTTTCACCATGTTAGCCAGGCTGGTCTTGAATTCCTGACATCAGGTGATCCACCCACCTCATTCTCCCAAAGTGCTGGGATTACAGGCTTGAGCCACCGCGCCCGGCTATAATTTTTAAGAGTCTAATTCAAAACTAAATAAGTAAGAGAGAAAGTCGTTTATGAGACTTATAAGGAAAAAACACAGTGAAAAGTTTTGAGGTAGAAATCAAGCACTGTGGAAATGGCTGTCATTTAAAAATCTTTCTACTTGTTCATAGTTTTTCCTTTTAATTTAAATTAGAATTTAAATCTAAATTGCTTGACTGTTACTTATTACTGAATCTGATTTAGAATAACTGCATTGTTCCTCACTTTTTTCTACATATCTCTTATTGTTCTTGCCTTCTAACTCTATTTATTTATTTATTTATTTATTTACTTACTTACTATAATAGAGATGGGGTCTTGCCCTGTTGCCTAGACTGGTCACGAACTCCTGGGCTCACGTAATCCACCCTCCTCAGTCTCCCAAAGTGCTAGGATTACAGGCATGAGCCACCGCATTCAGCCTCCTAACTCTTTCCATTGTGTCTTCTGGTACCTCATGCTAAAGGCCCTTACTGTACTTTTCCAGAACAGAAGTAATGTAGCGTAATAGTTAAGATGATGGATCTTGGGCTGGATCTGGCATATCCACTTATTATCTGTGTGACCATGGTTGAGTTATTTAATCTCCCTAAGCCACAATTTCCTCATTTGTAAAATGGGAATAATAGGAGCTACTTTATAAAGTTATAAGGATTAAATGAGATAATTTAGGGTTTGGTACATGATAAACATGCAGTAGATGTTAGGTACTGTTACTATCATTACTCATTTAATTATTATCACTACTAGCTTCCACATCCTTACCGTTTTGCCACTGACACCATCACTTCCTCTACTTCCTGTTCTGTTTGAACAGAAACCTCATTCCCAGAACATGGGTTTTCTTGTAAACTTCTTTTTGAAGGTTGTTTCTTTTCTAGCATCTAGCAGTTGTTTCATAAGACTAGCAGGTCAGCATTTACAAAGTTTCCCATTCCTACTTTAAAATTGTATCAATTTATTAACTATCCCACCTCTTTTGGAGCTCACAGAATTCTATCTCACTTTCTTTGTCTTAATCAACTTACTTCATAGTCACTTTCCTGTTTTCATAAATCATAAGCTCTATGAGGGCTGCATCTTGAGCAACGAGGCTGTCATATAGCAAGGGTTCAATAAGTATTTGTTGAACTAATAAACGACTTTGGTCTCTACCTCAAAACTTTCTTCCTACTTCTTTCCCTTCATGGATATACCTGCATTAGTTTTATATTGCTGCTATAACAAATGACCACCAAGTCAGTGGCTTAAAACAACACAAATTTATTATATAGTTCTGTAAGTAAGAGGTCTGAAATGGGTCTTACTGGACTAAAATCAAAGTGTTGGCAGAGCTAAATTCCCTTCTGAGGTTCTAGGGGAGAATCTGTTTCCTTGCCTTTTCTACCTGTGGAGATTATTTGTTTTCCTTGGCTCATGGGCCCCTTCCATCTTCAAAGCCAGCGGGGATGGTCAGTTGAGTCTTTCATGTTGCATCACTGACTCTCCCACATCCCTCTTTCACTTATAATGACCCTTGTGATAACATTGGGCCAATCAGATAATCAAGAATAATCTCCCCCTCTCAAGGTAAGTGGTTAGTGCCTCAGTTCCAGCTGCAACCTGAATTCCCCGTTGCTGTGTAACAAAACATAGTCACAGGCTCCAGGGAATGGCACAAGGAGATCTCTGGTGGGGCATTATTAACAGAATAATAATTAACAGAATAATAATGCCCTACAAGAGATCTCCTTGTGCCATTCCCTGGAGCCTGTGACTATGTTTCGTTACATAGCAAGGGGGAATTCAGAATAATTAACGGAATAATGCCCCACCAGAGATCTCCTTGTGCCATTCCAGATAATCATAATCCAGATCTAATACCTTTGCTACCATAATTCCTTATCATCTCAATTCCAATTAACTTAGCTGTATTCCACTTTAGTTATTCATGGCCACACTTTGGACTTTTCCATTGTTCAAAACTGCCACAATTATGAAGCTGTAAACTTCAGAATCTTATTTTCTGATGACAATTTCCAATCCTTCTATATTTGGGGACAGTACATAGGGAATAGATTGTAAAAGTCTTATTTACTAAGTAAAGTAGTATGAACTTGATTCAAAGTAGGAAGTCAATGTAGAGTTTCATCATGGAAAAAAAAAATGGTCAAAGCCAAAGAAGTCAACCTTTAAATATGGGAATATTGAATTAGTCATATATCTTATGTACTAATCTTTTTTTTTGTAATCTGAATTTTATTAGAAAAATGAAGAGGGAAAGCATGGACCCTTAGGAGATAATGAAGAGATGGCCAGAGTATCTACTGACAAAAAACAGGTAATTTTTTTTATGATTTAACATATATATATATGCTCATAATAACAAAGCAAAAGGAATAGTATAAAGTTGAATAAAAGTTCCTCCTTTCCTACTTTCATGGGAGTTTTAAAAATACTCTTCTAAAAATATTCTGCATGTTTACAAGATTATATGTCACTCCTGTTTTTTTTTTTTTTTTTAAGTACAGATGGGATTATTCTGACGTCCCACATTTTGCCTTTAAAAAAAGATTAACTCTTGATAGTTCATATAGATGTTTTGAGAAATAGTCTTTCTTTGTTCTCTCACACTCTCACACACCTTGCTGCTTATGCCAAGAATGCAAGGCCCTAGCCACTTTTTTACCTGGGTCATTTCTCAGAGTTGTGTTTGCAGTAATCAACCCTGAGGGTTGAGGTAATGTGTCCCTCTAGGACAAAGGGCAAACTGGCTTACTTTCTGCTGTGAAACAGTAGGGCTCTCAAGCTCAGTGTTCCTCTCCTATAACACTGCCCACTCTGTGTCCAGGCACCCATCTGTGCCCATCTGTATTACCCATCACGGGGCTTGAGGGCAAGGAAACAGTTAATGATGGTCATACCGACTGCTGTGCTGCAAATTATAAAGTTCATTGTTTCTAACCCAGAAGTTTTATGTTTTCTGCTAATATCCATGAAACAGTAACAGGTTAACTTATTAGTTGGTATGTAGGGTAAAATCAAAGTGCGCACTTGAAAAATGAACCTTGTTTTTTTTTAAATATTGTATAGTATTTCCTTGTTACTTTATTCTTTTGAGTTTTCCAGAGGTTCCAATTCATTGGGTACAGAGTGGAGGCTAAGAATGTATGTTTTGAGGAGTTACCTTGATGATTCTGATGTATATTCTTAGAGATTTCCTAATTCATTCTGAGAGTGAGCCCAACAAGAATATAGAAATAATTTGTCTCAGAATATTTATGAGTTTTTATTGTAAGAAAGGCCATGGGAAAAAAATAGGAAATCACCATTTAAGTCAATGTACTAGTCCAAATACAAAACAGACTGTCCTCTTTTGCCCATGTTTTAATGTAAAACTCTGTGACTAGGATCACATAGATTACTTGTCAAAATGTTGAAGTGAAGCAACATCAGATCCAGAGCAGTGATTCACTGAAAAGGTTCAGTCCTCTGGGAGTTGCAGTAAATGGAAGTGTGGAAATGGAATTCAACTTGAGCTTTTATTTGTTCCGTTGAGTTTGGGATGGAAAAATATTTGTCTCAAGCCTGATATTTGGCCTTACCTAGATGCAAAATGAAAAAATATGTATTTTCTGAGGTAAAAAGGACTCTAGACAAAAAGTGATAAACTCTACCCAAAAGATTGTTCTAATAACAAATAAGTTGATGAGTATTCTTCTCATTTATGAGGAATAATTTTTAAGCTTTTTTTCCTGGCTTTATTTCTGTCTGCTTAACTAGGAAAATATAAAGCTGAAATCATTCCCTTGCAGCCACTTCCACTGGTCACGTTAACCAGTGGAATTCAATTTAACAACAGGAACTCTGTCAAGAACTTTTGATGAGGCAACATTACTTCTTTTCCAAAATGATCTCTTTTAAAAAATAAACTTATTGAAAATATTCAGAAATCAATAATATATACTTCACATTTAAGAAGCATAAAACTCCAAGAAATTTTGGTAGGGAGGGTAATGTGTTCACAAATTCAAGGTAAATTTAAAGCTTATTTTAAAAGCCAATATAGATAGGTTTTTTTATATTTTACATATATTCTTAGGTATATATTTTGTAAAGCAAAGACTTTTGTATTCTTTTTTAAATGTCCTAGTTTAGGAGATGATTGGTTAACTCAGAAATGGAATTCAGCCGGGTGCGGTGGCTCACGCCTGTAATCCCAGCACTTTGGGAGGCCAAGGCGGGTGGATCACGAGGTCAGGAGTTCGAGACCAGCCTGACCAACATGGTGAAACTTTGTCTCTTCTAAAAATATAAAAATTAGCTGGGCATGGTGGCACACACCCATAATCCCAGCTACTCAGGAGGCAGAGGCAAGAGAATTGCCTAAACCTGGGAGGTGGAGGTTGCAGTGAGCCAAGATTGTGCCACTGCACTCCAGCCTGGGCCACAGAGTGGGACTTCGTCGCAAAAAAAAAAGGAACTCCATAAAATTTCTGTTCCTCCTTTTTTAGATATTTTACAAATTATCATTCTCCATAATCTCAAACATTTATACTCAGAACTGAAACTGAAACTTGACTATTTTAGTTAATATAGCTTTGGTCTAATCCTTTAAATGATTTCAGATATGCTGTATTGGAGATAAGTATAGGGTAAAATCGCTTTGGAAGGGGATGGGAACTAGGGACACCATCTCCTCAGCCCAAGCTCCCTTCATATAACAGTCAGTCCCAAGCCCAGGGATCAGATTTACATTCCTTACTTCAGAGGCTTTTGCTGGGAAAGCAGCATAGACTATTTTGTGCCTTATGCAGAACTGACTTTTTACCTTAGTCTGATTTATCTGATATTGATATACCAGCATTGATTAGTATTTGCTTAAGTTGAGAGACACTTTAGGTTTAGTAACACAAAACCTTCACTAAAAGAGATCCACTGTAAGTGCTTAGAACCCCAGTCAGTCCCACGTCTGCAGGGCCTACATCAGGCTCAGCCGTCCCCTGCTCTGTGGAATACTGCTAAGATAGCTCAAGCTCACTGCTCTGACATCAAGTTCTCTCATCCTTTTTGACACCTGATGGTATGTCTCTCTTCTTTTTATGTTTATAATTTATCTGTAGTAGTAGGTGGGACCCAACTGTAGTAGTCTAGACTGCCATAGTGCTGTAAATTGATACAGCCAGTAGTTTTTAGAAAGAAGTTGAAGATTATCTTTACTTTGGCCAATATTTAAAATATTTTAGAATTTAAGATGACCTCTGCTTTAGTTCTGCCTTTTGTCATCTATGTGTCTTTCAGAAAGTCATGTAAACTTTCTGGGCTTTACTTATCCATGTGTAAAATCAGGGTTTTATAAATTTTTCTTTATTACCATCTAGAAGCTTAATACTAAATAGTACTACACTCAGTGCTATAAGAAACAAGTGAAATTGACCTAGTTCTTACCCTTTGCTTGGTTATAATATATTCATCTTTCACTAGAACAAATTAATGATAATTACATGCTTAATTGTTTGATTAGTAGAGCCTAGGTTTAGAAAATTTCTGGTCTAAAGTCAACACTAAAGTTTCAGAAGTTTTTTGGATCTAATGAGAAATGTGCTTTGTATAAACTGTTTAAAGAACTAAACAAAACTTCCATTTTTTAATAAGTATAATCCATAATATGATTATTAGGTGTTATAACTAATAAGTTGTTATTTTATACCTTAATGTAGGTAAAGAGAACTGGTCTTGTGGTGGTGAAAAACATGAAAATTGTTGGTCTCCACTGTTCTAGTGAAGATTTACATGCCGGGCAGATTGCTCTTATTAAACACGGGTCAAGGCTGAAAAACTGTGATCTTTATTTTTCCAGAAAACCATGTTCTGCTTGTTTGAAAATGATTGTAAATGGTAAGTGAAGATAAGGCTTTGTTGAAGATTAAGAGCATTTATCTGAGATGGGTGTTGTGGTTTATGCCTGTCGTCCCAGCACTTTGGGAGGATAAGGCGGGAGGATCACTTGAGCCCAGGAGTTCAAGAATAGCCTGTGCAACATAGGGAGACCCCATCACTACAAAAACTAAATTAGCCATGCACAGCGGAGCATGCCTGTAGTCCCCACTACTTTAGAGACTGAGGTGGGAGGACTTCTTGAGCTCAGGAGGTCAAGGATACAATGAGCCATGATTGCACCACTGCACTGTAGCCTGGGTGACAGAACAAGACCCTGTCTCCAAAAAAAAAAAGAAAAGAAAAGAAAAAAAGAGCATTTATTTGAGAGCAGTCAGTGGAACACATTTGTTAGATACCACAGAGATAATTTAGAACTATATATCTGAAAGTCAGGTGCTATGGCTTGCACCTATAATCCCAGCTACTCAGAAGGCTGAGGCAGGAGAATTGCTCAAGCCTGGGAGTTCAAGGCTGTAGTGAGCTTTGATGGCTCCATTGCACTCCAGCCTGGGTGACAAAGCAAGATCCTGTCTCTAAAAAATAAAATTAAATTAAAAATATATAAATATATATTTGAAGACAGTTGGATACATTATAAGCGGAAGCATCAGAAAACATGGATTCTGGTCTCATCCCTGTGTACTAACCTGTTAAATGTCCCTCAGTGTTTGAGTAGACTAATGCTAGCTGCTATAACATGACAAACATAATTTCAGTGGCTTAATGTACTAGATATTTATCACCTGTATAATAGTTCAGTGCATGTGTTGCTAAGCAACAGGCAGCTTTCTCCATGTGGTTGATTCCTGGACTAGACATCTTCTATCTCATTGCTGTTGTCATCTCTGGGGATTTGAGTCCTCTGCATCCAGAGGCAGACTGAGAAAGAATGAGTAGAAAGGGTGAACCTGCTTCTTAAAAATTCTGACCTGGAAGTTACATATATCATTTCTGTTCTCAAACATTGTGGGAACTGTAATTCCTACTGGGCAGCTGTCTTTCAGTGTCTACTCTACACTTTGGAAAGAGGAACACAAAATTTTAGTGTATAGCTATCCATCCACACCAGGCTATTCACTAAACCTCTTAGTGCTTATGATTCTGTTTCACACCCAGCTATGTATTCCAGCCGTTCTTTCATTTAAAACATATATATCTTGTGCATAGCCATCATGGCAGATCAAAAAAAAAAAAAAAAAAAAAACTAATGTGATTCCTAATATTTTCCTTTAAGGTGTTATTTGGGGGCCAAAATAACCATTTAATATGATGCATTATCTAGTACCAAATCAATGATACAGGTTTTAAGTGATACTTGGTCTCAGGGGAGAAATAGTGATTCCTGCAGATTGCCATATTGTGAAAGGCTGAGGCTTAAGCTTGATCTTGGTGTGTCATAGGTAGAGGAAGAGGAACACATTTCTGGTCAGGGGGAGCAGTGCATGTGGAGTCATTAAGTTGTAAGAAGCAAGGTTCTAGAGTCAGTATTTGAAATGGAGAATTATTTTTAGAGAATAGTGGCAGAAGAACTATAATGATACTAGAGAACTTGGAAAAACTGTAGGGCCTGTGGACTTTATCTTATAGAACAGAGTTCCTAGGCCTGTTGTGAGGAAGAGCTATTATTTATATCAAAGACTTAAGAGTAATGATCAGATCTATGTCAAGGTCAGTGCCTTGAGCTATAAATGGCAGAACTTCTAGAAAAAATAGGTCATGTGGCTAGAAACCTCCTGGCCTGCAGCAAGTATTTCAAGCAGGTAGGTATCTGTGGTATAGGATTGGATTCTGTATTCTCAACTGCAGTTGCCAATGAATTGAGAAGACAAATATGAAAGTGGTGATGGCATTTTTTTTTCTCCTTTTCCCTACTAACCAGGCAGATTGGACATGTATTTTAACACTCATGTTCAACTGACCTACAGTTCCTGTTTGTAGGTAATGTGGAGCCACTGAAGATTCTCGAGAAAGATGTAACATGATTGAAATTTTTGTTGTTGCTGTTATTGAATTGGAGCAGGGAGAGATTAGAGATTGGGAGCTTTATTAGTAGACTATTGCATTAGGTAAGGTATAAAATAGGGTTCAGATGGTGACATTGATACAGAAATGAAAGAATGTGAAAGAACCAAAACGTTTGTTGGCTGATCTGTTCTAGAGTCAAGGGAGAAAAATGAATAAAAGATAGTTGTGCTTTGTGCTGAGCTAACTGTGCTGAAAGCACTCTTAATAGCCTTGGAGGCACAAATTAGAGGGAAGAATAGGAGAGTACAAGTAACTCATCACTGCTTGATGTCTTAAGACATTTCATCCTGACAAGAGAGATAATGAAGTATGGAAAGTCAGGAAGGACCTACAATGCAAATGCTTGTATATTGGTGTTGGACCAACATATAAACAAAATTGCTATGTTATATTAGGCTTATATATCATATTTAGTTATCTTGGGAGTGGGATATGGTTGAACCCCATGCTATAGCTAAATTACTTTAGTTAGAATTGCTATTTCCTCAGTTACAAGGCAAAGATTGTTGTAGCACAGTGGTTCTCCAAGTGTGGTCTATGGACTGCTGATGGTCCATGACGTCAGCGTTATTTTCATAATAACACTGCTTTCAGGCTGGGCATGGTGGCTCATGCCTGTAGTCCCAACATTTTGTGAGGCTGAAGCAAATGGATTGCTTGAGCCCAGGAGTTTGAGACCAGCCTGGGCAATATGGAGAAACCCTGTCTCTACTAAAAAATAGGAAAATTAACTGGGCGTGGTGGTGTGCGCCTGTAGTCCCAGCTACTCGGGAGGCTGAGGTGAGTTGATCACCTGAGTCTGGAATGCGAAGGTTGCAGTGAGCCGTGAATGTGCCTCACCAGTGCACTCCAGCCTTGCCACAGAGTGAGACCCTGTCCCAAAAAGCAAAAACGAGAACACTGCACTCATACTATGGTACCAAAACAATGATAGGTAAAACTACTATTGATGTATCATTAGTCAAGACAGTGGTGCCAAACCGCACTGGTAGTCATTGTACTTTTCACTGTACTCAGAGGGAAACAAGAAAACTGATTTTACATAAGAAGGTCCTTGATGAAACAGTAAAAAGTGTTAATTTTATTAAATCCCAACTTGAGTCTGCATCTTTTTAATATTCTGTGTGAGGAAACAGGAAGTTGGAATAAAGCACTTTTGCTACAGACCTAAGGTATGAAGTTGGCTTTAAGGAAAACCATGTATGTGGTTGTTTGAGTTGCAGACTGAATTATCTACTTTTTTAATGGAACAGCATAAACTGACAATGGTTATTTAGACTTGGATATTTGGCAGAAAATATAGTGAACTTGTCACTTTCAGGTAAACAGCTGACAGTATTTGTTGCCATTGATAAGATTTGAGCTATCAAGTGAAAATTAGAATTTTGGAAAACTCGTATTCTCCATTATGAGCTTGACAGCATCTCACCACTTAGACTCTTTACTGGGATTGGTGGCAATATTAATTAACAGGATTTTTTTAAATGTTGTAAAATCAGGAAATCATTGTTTTCCAGATGACCAGTGCACAATGCTACAAAATCATGCATGAGTAAAAGCCGTTCTAAGTGCAAGACAGACCAATGGAGTTTAACGTAACAGTTCAAACAATTTGTTGATATGGTTTCAGATTCTACATTATAACTAACCTTTAAGAAACTATCCCTTGTCAAATTTTTATGTAATGCCAAAGAATAATATTCACAATTATCTGAAATGGCTGTTAAAATACTCCTTTTTCAACCACATATCTACATGAGGCCAGATAATTTTTGTATACTTCAGTAACAACAGTGTATTGTAGCAGATTGAAAACAGAAGCAAATTTGAGCATCTAGCTATCTCCTATTAAGTCAAATATTAAAGATATTTGTAAAAATTTAAAACCATGTCATTCTTAAAAATTTTTGTTGTTTTGGAAAACAGATTTTTTCATAAAGCTGTTGTTACTTAATAGATTTTTTCATGAATTAATATTTTAAATTTTATTTTAATTTTTAAGTACAATAAATATTAGTAGATATATTCCACATAAATACATGCTCTCTGAGGTCCTCAATAATTTTTAAGAGTGTTAATGAATCCTGAGATTAAAAAATTGGAGAAATTCTGCCTTACCATTTGCCACTAATACACAAATGTCTGTCTAAAGAGGATTTGTCCCCTCTTATTAAATCGGGATTACTGGGAGCAACTAAGATACCTAGGTGAAAGGTTTACCATCACTGCTGGTTAGGAAATGGATTATGAGAACTTGATCAGAGGGAAAGTGAAATGCAACCAGAGGAAACACTGATATGAGCTTTGAGGCCTTCAAAATTGCTTTGCAGCAGAAGCCACAGTGAGTCAGGAATACCAGGGAGTGGATAGAATGTTCATTTGTTTAACTTAGACTTTTTAGTTCATCAATTATTTTGAAAGGTACACTCTGTGGGCTATTGGTCTATTTTCTTCCATATACAATCACAAAAAAGTCTGTCCTATTTGAAATTATGTGGGATAGTAGCAAAGGGGTCCCTTTGTTGTAAACTGTTCATTAATTGACAAACATTTGTGTGCTTAACTATGTATAAGGCATCTCATCATTCAATTTCAAATACAAATTAAAATATTTTTCATGTTTGTTATCCTGTTATGTTTTCTCTTTTACAGATTGTCTATTCATATCTTTTTGTCTCTCTTTAGGCCTTATTATTGTCAATTCATATGTGTTCTAATGAATTGAAATGTTTTCTGTATATTAAATATTACTAACCTTTCCTCTGTCACACTGATTGAAAAATGTTCTGTTTGTTGTTTTGTCTTTAATTTTCTGAGCTTTAAAAAGTTAATATTGCCCTTCAAACACCGTCCCAATATCACATAAGATTTTTTTCATGTTATAAATTATTTGTGACATTTTTGATAACTTTTATTATTAGGACCATAATTAATTCAGCCATTCCCCTATTTTGGTCATTTAGGTTTTGGGTTCTGGTTGTTTGTTTGTTTAACATTTTTTCTTGCTATTTTAAAGAATGCTACACTAAACATGCATGCATGAGATTTCTTCTCTGTATTTAGAATATTTTCCTAGTATAGATTCTCAGAAGAATTCTCAATCTGTGGACAGGAACATTTTTAATGCATGGAGGAAGTATTTATTCCACATAGAAAACTCTAGGCAATATTAGTTATTCCCTGTAACATTTTTAAAAACAGCCATGGCACCGTGGAGGACTCTTCGAGTATATAGTTTTGGCACTGGGCTTTGGGATCATACTCCACAACACCAGTAATTTCACAAAGGCATTCCTAGAGGCTCTGTTAGAGGCTGGGTAACTTTTTCTTGAAAAGGCCGGATAGTAAATATTTTAGGCTTTGCAGGCCATATGGTGTCTGTCACAGCTCTTCAACTCTGCCACATGATAGCAGCCAAAGACTATATAAATGAATGGGTATGTGTGTCTGTGTTTCAATAAAGGTTGATTCATGGACACTGAAATTTGAATTTCTTACAGTTTCATGTGTCATAAAATATTCTTTTGATTTGTCCAACTATTTTAACATGTAAAACCCATTCTTAACCTGTGAGTGGTACAAAGACTGGCAGTGGACTGGATTTGGTCTGTGAGTAGTACTTTGCCAACCCTAAGGCTATAAAATAGGTGACTTTGTAGGGCCAGGCATGTTGGCTCACACCTGTAATCCAAGCACTTTGGAGGCCAAGGTGGGCGGATCACCTGAGGTCGGGAGTTCAAAACCAGCCTGACCGACGTGATGAAACATGTCTTTTAAAAAAAAAAAAAATAGGTGACTTGGTTAATAGACATTTATTACATTGGGGCCTCTAGATCTACTGCAATGATAGGATGGATTTTATCATGAAAATCCTAAATTGAACATGTATCACATAATTACCTTTCCTATTTTGTATTTCAGCTGGAGTTAACCGAATTTCATATTGGCCTGCTGATCCAGAAATAAGTTTGCTTACTGAGGCTTCTAGTTCTGAAGATGCAAAGTTAGATGCCAAAGCAGTGGAAAGATTGAAGTCAAATAGTCGGGCCCATGTGTGTGTCTTACTTCAACCTTTGGTGTGTTATATGGTGCAGTTTGTAGAGGAGACCTCTTACAAATGTGACTTTATTCAAAAAATTACAAAAACATTGCCGGATGCTAACACTGACTTTTATTATGAATGTAAACAAGAAAGAATAAAAGAATATGAAATGATATTTTTGGTTTCAAATGAAGAAATGCATAAGCAAATACTGATGACTGTAGGTTTGGAGAACCTGTGTGAAAATCCATACTTTAGCAATCTAAGGCAAAACATGAAAGACCTTATCCTACTTCTGGCCACAGTAGCTTCCAGTGTGCCGAACTTTAAACACTTCGGATTTTACTGTAGCAATCCAGAACAAATTAATGAAATTCACAATCAAAGTTTGCCACAAGAAATTGCAAGGCACTGCATGGTTCAGGCCAGGTTATTGGCATATCGAACTGGTAAGTTACATAGATCATAAATTGGGGCTGACTGGTTGGGTTGTATTTGTCTCTGAAATGTTTGTCTCATTTATGGTAGGGTTGATTTACTCACAGTTACTAAAGTTTTGCTATTCATACAATATAGAGTAGTTAGTGAGACCCTTGAGTAGACAACTCTTTCTTCCAGCAGTTTTGGGATTCCTTGTGGCCTTATATTCAGTACCACATTTCAACACAATGCATTAATCTAGGCCCTTCTTTCTGCTTCTTGCTTTTATGATTTCACTGTTCATTGAGCCCTCCACTAAAGATAGGACAAAAAGAGAAAGGAGAGGCCCAGTGCGGTGGTTCATGCCTGTAATCCCAACACTTTAGGAGGCTGAGACAGGAGCATTGCTTGAGCTCAGGAGTATAAGACCAGTGTGGGCAACATAGCAAGACCCTGACTAACAAAAAATACAGAAAATTAGCTGGGCATGGTGGTGTGTGGTGGTGCGTGCCTGTAGTCCCGCCTACTTGGGAGACTAAGCAGGAAGATTGCTTGAGCTCAGTAGTTTGGGGCTGCAGTAAGCTACAATAGCAGCACTGCACTCCAGCTCCAGAGACAGTAAGACCCTATTGCCAAAAAAAAAAAAAAAAAAGAGGCAAAATCATTCATTTTTGTTAACTCTTCAATATTTTGATATACTGAATATTAACAAAAAAAATTTAAGAGCTTTACAATAACATTATGTCAAAATAACTAATAGAATCAAGGTAAAGCAATGATGATTATTGCAGTCTTCCACTTGCTGGTATGTCTTTAGTCAGCAAGTTGAGAAATCAAACATTTTTACTGTATTAAGTTTTATATTTGGAAAAGAAAAATATTACTTGAGGTTTTTCTTTGTTATAAAACATGGCATCTGTATTTCCAAACATGGAACAGTATTTTCACATCTTACCTGATGTAAGATTTCTCAAAGTAGAATCATGATCACTTTTTAAAATGCATCTTTGAAATAAAGGGAGAAAATGTAGGCAGGAGGAGCAGTAGAGTAAGATTTGTTCGGGGAGTGTACTGTAGTAGAATTTTAAAATTATCCTAAGAAAGAAGAGAAAGTCATCAGAAAAGGTCTCTGCAGATGCTGCTGGTCTGCAGTAGTTCCAAACAAAGACCACAGGTCAAAATAAAGTCAGCAGAAGGGAGGTTCTCAGCTGGCAGCAAATTAGAATCTCTGTTGAAACTTCTGTAAAAAGTACCAATGCTCAAACCCTAACCCAGACCCATTAAAGCAAGTCCCTAATCAAATATGGCCAAGGTCTGTGTTTTTAAAAGTTCCACAAGGTATTCTGATGTTCAGCAGAGTTAATAATTGCTCAGTTCTTATTAAAGATTTTGATTCTGTAGGCACACGTTATATGACCCCAAACAATTGCATTGTGTAAAATCTGGTTTCATATAATTATCTCCTATTGTGGTTTATATGTTAGTTTCTTTGCCAACTCCAGCTTTGTAAAGAATTTTTCTGTAAACCATTCAAAAAGACAGAAAACATAAATGGGAACAGCTGTTGTAGCTATGATTCACTAATTACCCTTCACTAATTAGAATTCAGCAGAACCCTGCCTGTGTTCCAGAGTAAGAGGGAGATGTGAATCTGCTGTTTTACTGGATCTTAGTACCTCTTGCTTCTCATAGAACACCTCATCATACCAGCTGTGACTCCAGTGTTTAAAGATGCAGTATGTATACATTTGCATTTATAGTCTTTATTAGATACTCTACTGTATAGTTATATTTTATATTATAAATATATCTACTATTGTGCAGAAATTTGTACATAAAGCCCTCCTTATGCACTTGATGGGCACTCTAAAAGATTTTTCAAGGTTAATTGTTGGTGATTTTTTTTTTACATGGAACTCAAATCTTGAATAGGATGCAACTCCTCTGTCACTCACTCCACTCCACTGTGCACTCTCCCAGGGAAGAAATCATGTCTTAATCATTTTTCCTTAGCATGAAACACAATGTGTGTTAACTGGATAAAATAAATCTTTTTTATATCGAAAGATAAAGGGTCCGCTATCCCTTATGCAAAACCTTTGGAGCCAGATGAAAAGGAATTCAGAATTTTTGAGATTTTATTATATTATGTTTTTGACATAAGGTTTTACTCTGTTGCCCAGGCTGAGTGCAGTGGCACTCATGGCTCATTGTAGCCCTCAACCTCTCCGGCTCAAGCAATCCTCCCACATTGGCCTCCTGAGTAGTTGGTACTACAGGCAAAGGCCACCATGTCCAATCAGTTTTTTTATTTTTTGTAGCGGTGTCTCACTGTGTTGCCCAGGCTGGTCTCAAACTCCTTGGCTTAAGCAATCTTTCTGCCTCAGCCTCCCAAAGTGCTGGGATTACAAGCATGAGCCACCATGCCCATTTCCAGATTTTAAAAAGGTAATACGGTACATATACTGTTATGTAGCACTCCCACTGGGGTCTAGGACAGTTCCCTGTAATCAAACACATTAATACATGCAGAGTGAAAAAGTAGGAATATTTGCACTAAGCAGAATAATTGGTCTATAAATAACTAAATTTGAGTCAGATTTGGCAATAAATAAGGGCATCAAACTTCAAAAAAACTTGATGTAAGAGATTTCGGATCAGGGACTCTGGACCTGTAATTCTTCATTGTTGATAAATAATAACAATGACAGTTTATGGAACACTACTATGTGTCAGGTACTGAGCTTGGTGATTTATATATGTATCTCGTTTAACATTGAGGGTACTCCAGCAAGGTGGATATCCCTGTGTTATAGTGTGCTTTCAATTACTCAAGCTTTTAATTTCACATTTTTCAGTTTGGGTTGATGACATCATTTCTCTGTAATTAATAGATGAAGATACCATTTCATTTAAAAATGTACATATGATTAAAATGAATTCCAAAACTTCTAACAGCAGTTCTAAAATGGAAGTAGTTGCTTATAATTGCTTTTTGAATGATAAATAGGATCCATAGAGGTGTCATGAAAAGTATGTTTCTAGACAGGTGCGGTGGCTCCTACCTGTAACACCAGGACTGGGAGACTGCGGCAGGAGGACTGCTTGAGGCTGGGAGTTCCAAAAGTATGTTTCTAAAATCCCTGGTGGTAGCAAAAAAAGTGAAAAAAAAAGTGTTTAGACTCTTGGGGGGAAAAGAGCAGGAAGGCATCACATCTATCTGGTTTAAGTACTGAGCTGTGATCTTTTTGTGTCCTGTTTTCTCATCAGATTAGGTGTTTTCCAAAGCTAAGGATTATGCCTTTCTCCTGGACCACAGTAATGATGAAAGCAGGATGGAGTAATCACAAAAGTTAACTTTTAAAACAGACCCAGTGGTTCTCAGATTTGAATGTGCCTGAGAATCAACGGGGAGATCAGGAGAAATGCAGATTCCTAAGCCTTGTCTGCCTCTCAAGAGTAGTTGACCACAAGGATTTGGAACTAAAATAACCACACCTGCGTTCCAGAACAAAGAGTTCCCTTTGAGTTTCAGTGATCAAAGAGCCCCGGGAATTTGACTCAGTGATTGTAACTTGACCTTTCCTTCAAAGTTGTGCAGAAAAAACCCTGTGAATGACCAGATCATGGGGAGCAATTTCTGCACAAATTACAGATATGAAAAGATTTTTGAGAAAGTTCCTCACCTATCACCAGCCTTTGTGCTGGATGATATCAAATCTGTTTTATGTGGATGAAAATTTATTCGTATTTGAAAAGACAAATAGTAAAGAATGTTCTATTGATGTAACCAACCTTAGCTAAGCAGTAGAGCTGCATGCTCATGGAAAAAGCACATTTTTTTCCCTCCTAACAAGATTTAGTCTGTCCCCAGGCTGAAACAGAAAAAGTGGCTTCTGAGACTAAGAAACATAACATTAAAAATACGCAGCATAGATGATAGAAAAGGGGGCTCTTAATATGGAGAATTTTTATTCTGGTTTTTAATTATTTTAGAGTTATACATAAATAAAACTTTAAAGATTTTGGTTTTGCAGGCAAATATAATCTTATGTTTATAACTTCTGCCACTTACCTTAGAAATGAGCATAAAGCCATTGATTCTTGCCCACTCATGTTAAACTCTAAAGGCTTAGGAAGGAACTCAATTTTGTTTACTCTAACATCCCTTTTCCCTCTATTCTATAGAAGGAAGTCATCCTGTGCACTCTGCCATTCAGCCTTGTTCATTTCCTTCGGAGCACAGCACATAAAGTACTGTTTATTTTCTTGTTGCTGTTCTCCTTCACCATCCAACTGTAAGTTGTATGAGGAAGGGACTACAGTTTCCCTCACCACTGCATCCTCAGTTCTCACAGTACTTGGCACATAAGAGGCATTCAATAAATGGAAATCTTTGTCAAGGAGTCCTTCTCTGTCCCCCAAGCTAAAATGCATTGGTACCATCCCAACTCACTGCAACCTCCACCTCCCAGATTCAAGCAATTCTTCTGCCTCAGCTTCCCAAGTAGCTGAGATTACAGGCATCCGCCACCACACCCAGCTAATTTTTGTATTTTCAGTAGAGACGGGGTTTCACCACATTGGCCAGGCTGTGTCAAGGAATTCTTTATGTCACAGGGCAATTTGGAGGAAAGGCCAAGCAGGTTGGCTCTGGAGGGCTAAGTTTTAGTCTACTTCTCTGCCTGTTTCTGCATCTAGAAATGGAAATTTTACCTGCTTTACCTTTAGGGTAAAAATGAGATGTTTAACATAAATTGTACAAGTGCTTTGTGGTGTAATTTTTGAAACCCAGAGTTTGCTAGAATTTGAGATTGGAAATTTTTTTAGAGTATCAACTATTTTAAAGTTAACTTCTTAATAAGGCATTTATTCTAATCAATCGTGGCACAAATTTTCTTTGTACCTTTACTGGAAAGTAGGTATTTAAAAATGTTGTCATTGGAAGGATTCACTTTTAGGAAATTGTAGGGTGAAACCACAGTTTCACTTCATCCTCCCCAAAATGAAAATGCCCTAGGGTGAGTTCACAGATAATTGTTATTTTCTCTGTGTAAATGTGCCACTTAACTACCTTAAGATTTTGATAAATACTATGGTTTTCATAATTAGTGTGATTTGTCTTAGAAATTTGAAACCCAACATTGTATATGGGGAAAAATTAAAACTTTAATATGTAGAATTTCTATTTTGGTTTTTTATTTTCTGTTTCAGATTAATGGTTTTAAGAAGTACAGCTTTGCTTGTTGCAAAGGTTTTGGTTCTACAGGGAAATTATAATCTTATGTTTGTTTATAACTTCTGCTATTTGATTTAGAAATGGGCAAGATGTCATTAACTTGCATTCTTTTTCCCTCAAGGTAAACTGAAGGTCAGGGAAAGGACAACATTTTGTTTAAATCAGAATTTTCTTCATATACTTTCTAGTGATAGATAGATCTATAAAGATTTGTTTATGTTTATATGAGAAGTTTGAACTTTTTTCTTAGCAAGAACATTTTTATAAGATGTATTTTCCATGATTAGAGTATAAATAATCCTGGGGAAAGACAAATTTGATTGTTGTGAACAGTTATTACACAAAATCCATTAGTTCTGAAACCTTTATTCAATTTTATCATCTATCAGAAGTAGTCATTTAGAAATCGGCTTGCTAATGGAGAATCAATGAAGTTGCACTTAGTTCTGGCTACAGCTTTGAGACACCTGATTGTGGACACGGCCATTTAGTGGCCTCCACACATGTATCATGTGTGACTGGGTTGGTAGTGACTCTCTCTAGTTATTTGGTACCTAACTCCCATATTCCATACTTAAAAGAGTTTAATAATAATAATTATCTGTAATTAGTGAAGATATCAAGAATTGCTCCTACATTTATGAAGTATGTTGCAATACAAATTTTTATTTTTGAAAAAAATATTTCTAAAACTAACATCATCATTTTTACTGAGTTAAATGCCATGTATCTTTCAGAGGATCATAAAACAGGAGTTGGGGCAGTCATTTGGGCAGAAGGAAAATCTGTAAGTATGAAAACAATTCTTTAAATATTTAACCTGGATTGTTTAAGCATAGTTTAGTGTTCAGTGCATTACATGTTATTGACCCATTAAGACACATTTTTTTATAATGGTGCATTTATTAAGTTTTATAAACATTTGCTCATTTCTTCAACAATTTTCTAGATAGACGCATTCATTCAGCAAACATTTGTTAAAACACTTTCTACAGGTTAGGCACTGTGCCACAGTGAACGTTGGGGATTAAAGATCATATTTTATGGCATCATTGTTTAGTGATGGAGACAGAGAAGTAAAAAATAACTGATACGTAAGTGTAATTATAACTGATACCATGAGAACATAGAGGAGGAAGCTTTATTCTCTTTAGAGAAATGAGTAAATATTCTTGAATATTATTAATGTTAATAATATTTTTGCAGAGTAAGAAAATTTCATCAGACAGAGCAATTTAATAGGACCAGGAGGATAACATGAATGTTTTTGGTGAATATTCTTTTTTTATTGGGATAGAGTCTCCCTCTGTCAACCAAGCTAGAGCTCAGTGGTGTAGTCCTGGCTCACTGCAACCTCTGCCTCCTGGGTTCAGGCAATTCTCATGCCTCAACCTCTTGAATAGCTGGAACTACAGGCATGTACTACTACACCTGGCTAATTTTTGTATTTTTAGTAGAGACGGGATTTTGCCATGTTGGCCAGGCTGGTCTTGAACTCCTGGCCTCAAGCAATCCACCCTCCTTGGCCTCCCAAAGTGCTGTGATTACAGGTGTGAGCCACCATGCCTGACCTGAATATTCTTAATATTAATAATGTTAATATTCTTAAAGATTAGGAGGATATCATCAGACAGAGCAATTTAATGGGACCAGGAGGATAACATCCAGAGATGGGGGGTGAGAGAGAGAATATGGGAAAATGTATTTGATCTGGCACATAGAGTAAGCAACAAATCGGACTGGACAACAAAGAACTCTATATCCCATGTAAAGATTCTGAACTTTATCCTGACAGTGACATACTGTAGCACAGCACTAACTAGTAGAGAGAAAAGGCAAGCCTCAAACCAAATTTTAAATTTTCTAGGAGCCATATTTTTAAAAGTAAAACAGATGAATTAATTTTAAGAAAATATTTTATTTAATCATATAATCAATGAAAAGTTATTAATGAAATATCCTGAATTTTTAAGGTATTACATCTTCAAAATTTTATGTGTATTTTACACCTGCAGCACCTGTCAATCTAGACTAACCACATGTGGCTAGTGGTGACTGTATTGGACAGTGCAATCCAAGAATATTGTAGGTGGGGAAATGATTTGATCAGATTTGTATTATAAATAGAATGAAATAGAGCTAGACAGGAAAGAGAGAGATTAATAAAAAAGAGATGACTTGGAGTTATGGGGATGGATTAGGAGGGCTAGAATCAAGAGATATTTAGTAACTATATAGCTGACTGAAAGGCAAGCCTACATTTTGCCTCAAGGACTTCACAGAAATTAATCCAACAATTTGATGTTTCATAAACCCCTCAAGTTCAACCCATCCAGTATCTTCCCTGCTAACCTACTCCTTCGTCAGTGGTCACCATCTTGTCTGTTACTGTACACATACAATCACCTAGCACAATGGATTCCACCTTCAAAATACCTCTTGACTCTACTTACTTCTACGTCAACTGTTAACTCCCACTAGAATACTAGGCTCCTCTGTCAGAAATTCCATAGCACTTTGTACAACTTCTCTGTGACATTTATCACAGTTAAAGTTATCTGTCCAATTTCTTACCCCCAGACTAGAAAGCTCATGAGGATAGGGACTCTGTCTTGTTTGCAGCTGTATTCCAGCACCTAGCACGGGTCCAGCTGGTGGTTGGAACTCTCGTTTGTGTTTATGTGAATGCTCAGTAGCCTTTTGGCTTAACATCTGGTTCTTAATGACTTTGTGGAGAATGTCAGTTTCTAGTTATCTCTGGAGTAGGCTGGCAGGCAGCATGTGAAGTGGAAAGACACATGGCTTAGAGTCAAGTAACCTGGGCTTGAATTCTGGCTATGTTACTTACTAGTTTTGTGACCCTAGACAAGTTAACAAATCACTCTTGTCCTCAGTTTTCTTATCTGTAAAACAGTAATATTAATATTATCACTCTTTAGGTTGTTTCAAGATTTGATTAAATGAAATCATGCTTGTAAAACTCAATATGACCGTGCACAGTGGCTCATGCCTGTAATCCCAGCACTTTAGGAGCCTGGGGAGGGGGGATTGCTTGAGCCCAGGAGTCCGAGACAATCCTGAGCATCATGGTACAATGCCCTCGCTACAAAAAATGAAAAAATTAGCCAGACATAGTTATGTGGACCTGTAGTGCCAGCTACTTGGAAGGTTGAGGTGGGAGGATCACTTGAGCCCAGGAAGTCAAACCTGGGCAATAGAGTGAGACCCTGTCTCAAAAAATAAATTAAAATAAATTAAAAACTCAGCATGATGTTTGACAGTAAATGTTCAAACAGATTTATTAATGAGATAATATTTTGTTTGCAGGCTTTTGTTGGCTCATTATTACATGATTTTTATGAAGCTGGTACAGTACTGAGTCTGTTGATACTATCACTTGAGTAATTATAATGTATTGAAATTTAATAAGGTTTATAGCATATTCCAAACTATTAAAAACACATTATTGATAAAATATTTCATGCTAATAATTGATAAACCATTCATATTAACAACTACTATGCCATTGACCAAGAGAAATAAGAAAGAGCCACTGAAGTAAGAAGTTCTATAATAATATGCATATAACAGAGGCTTAATAAATACTGAAGATGAAAGTGCATTTTTTATTTTTCAACCAAATCACAATGGCACATTTTTAGCCTAACAACAGAAATTTTCTGTTTAAAGTATTTAAAAATTTTTGACTTGTTAACCAGTAGCACCACACAGAGCACAAATAAAACATGGTTTCTGCTTTCCAGGATGTTATAATTTATTTGGGAAGTAATGTCCGAATCAAGTGACATAATTGTGAGTTAAGTAAGATAGTATTTAATGAATTGCAAAAACCAAGGACTTCCTTGAGATTACAGATTAGAGAGATGGTCAGTCTTCTTGGAATTTAGCTTTAACAAGATCAAACTGCAGTAGGAGGATCTGATATTGTATTTTTGATAGTTCAGTTTATTGTAGAAAATTGAATAAGTATTTATTATGCAAAGTATGATAGCAAGCTTCAAAAATACATTTCAAAGTGCCTTTTCAGAATGTTGAGACTAACCATTGGTTTGCTCACTCTCTAGAGAAGTTGTGATGGAACAGGTGCCATGTACTTCGTAGGATGTGGTTACAATGCTTTTCCTGTTGGATCTGAGTATGCTGACTTCCCACACATGGATGACAAGCAGAAAGACAGAGAAATAAGAAAATTCAGATACATCATACATGCGGAACAGAATGCCTTGACATTTAGGTATGAAATTCTTCTAGGTGTACTTTTCTTTAAAATGTAGCAAAGGTTGGTTGAAATTTATTTTCTTATAATTGTAATTTATCTCCTTTTTCAAATTCCAAGAAAGTTTCCTTTCAGAAGTATAACTTTGGTAAAGCTTGGTCCTCACTGCCAGACCTGAAGCTATATCCTGACCTGAGATCATCGCCTCTGCAGGCCTTCCCATTTATTGAGCGTGTTTTTTTTTTTTTCCTTCCCTGTCTCCAATATGAAACTGCTTGAAGTTTGTCCTTTGGGATCTTGTTCAGGCTCTCCTATTTCTCTGGATGTTAAGACCTCCTTTGTTTTCTAAATCTGGAGCACATATTTGTTAATACAGTTGCGTGCCACATAAAGACATTTTGACCAACGATGGACTACATGCACAACAGTGTTCCCACAAGATTATAATGGAGCTGAAAAATTCCTGTTATTGAGTGAAGTAGCCATTATAACATCACACATTACCTTTTTTATGTTTAGATACACAGATACTTACCATTTATTACAATGGCCTGCAGTATTCGGTATAGGACTGTCTATAGACTTTATAATAAACCAAATTGCTTTAAAAGGGTTTTTGTTAAAGTAATAGCTGTTAATTTACATCATTTTTACAAACACTTCTCAGCCTTTACCATTAAGGTTAAGGGATTAAAGAACTGTATAAGACATGACTCCTGTCCTTGGAGGGCTTCTAATGCAGCAGAGGATATGAGACGGCATCTACCGCATACTGTGGATTCTGTGGGAGGGGCAAATGTAAAGCTCTGTGGACATTCAGGCGCTGCTGTGGACAAGTGGGAGAGTGCAAGGGAAAGGCTTTATGGAAGACCTGACATCTGAGCTGAGCTTTAAAGGATTGCTAGGACTGGGGCAATTGGAAGGGAAGGGAAGACCATCCTTTCTTCTAGCATAAGCAGTGGTCTAGAAGTAGGAAAATCCATGGTGTGTTTAGGAGTGTGAATATTCCAGTTAGACTGGAATGTGGACACGGGAAATGCAGCTCACAAGGACAGGCTGGGACTGGACTCGAGAGGACTTTATGCTCCATGTGGTAGGCAGTGGCGAAATGGAATGGCATTGACATAGCAACACTCTTTAGATTATGCGGGTGGTAGGTGTATTGTTTGTACAGATTAGATGCATAAAATTATTTTGCCATACTCCAGTTGAACGTAAATAAGAGTCTCAACAAGAAAGGTGGATATGGAAGACTGGCAGTGGGGGAACTGAAAATGGCTGGCTGAGAGCAGCATAAATCTCGGAACCCAGATGTCAGTCCTTGTAGCCCCAGATGAGAGCAGTCCTTAGTCTTAAAATTTCACCCAAATTTTCCTCTATTCTTTTCCTTGTCCTCATCATTACAGATTTACTTGATCCATTTTGTGCGGAGGTACAAATATGTCAAATAGAAACTTTTCTTTTTAAAATTATCCTATGATAGGGAAGGAGTAAGGGAACTATAAGTCAAAACAGAACTTAAATATTAAATTATTCATTTAGTAAACATTTATTGAATATCCACCAAGTACCAGATGGTGTTGTGTCTTTTGTCTATCAGGATGAGCTAGTGTCTAATCAGACATCATTAGCAAGGAGGGCGTCAGTTTCTAATCTAATCCTAGTATTCTAAAGAGGTACTTAGAAAGCATCGGGGAGTTTCTCTCTCTTTCTTTGTCTTTCCTTGGTGTCCGTATCTTTCTGATTTCATTTACTTTGTAATCTGAAACTGAACCTCTTACTTAGAATCAATAAATTATTTTTAGTTATAATTTTCATGTCAGGTTGTATTTATAACATTTTTATGGGTTTACATATTTTGAACATTCAGTAATTCAGCAAGTCTAAGGCTTGATGATTATTAATAATGGCATAAATCTGTACAGCTCAATTTTAGTGTTTAAAGATTTTTCTAAAAAATAACTTACCCTTTCAGAAGGAAGTTTTCTAATATTTTATAATTTTTTAATAGGTGTCAAGAAATAAAACCAGAAGAAAGAAGCATGATTTTTGTGACAAAGTGCCCATGTGATGAGTGTGTACCTTTAATTAAAGGTGCAGGCATAAAACAAATATATGCAGGAGATGTAGATGTTGGAAAAAAGAAGGCAGATATCTCTTACATGAGATTCGGGGAACTTGAAGGTGTTAGCAAATTTACGGTAAGTAGATACACATTTTTTTCAGATGTATTTTGTGTTATGTTGTTAGGTACCCTGCTGCATATTTTAAGTTAGTTATTCCCACCCTTTTAAAGAGTTTCAAATAATAATAATTATTATTAAATTTATTATTATTATTTGAGACAGAGTCTCTCTCTGTCACCCAGGCTGGAGTGCAGTAGCTGATCTCGGCTCACCGCAACCTCCTCCTCCCGGGTTCAAGTGATTCTCCTGCCTTAGCCTCCCGAGTAGCTGGGATTACAGGCGCCTGCCATCACGCTTGGCTAATTTTTGTGTTTTTAGTAGAGACGGGGTTTCGCCATGTTGTCCAGGCTGGTCTCAAACTCCTGACCTCAGGTCATCTGTCAGCCTCAGTCTCCCAAAGTGCTGGGATTACAGATGTGAGCTACCATGCCCAGCCAAGTTTTAACAAATTAACTATTATTGAGTTTATTTATATGTGCTATTCTTTACCTAACTGCAACTATTCAGCTAAGAATTCCTGCCGTGTGAATTTACATCTCTGTAGAGAACTGAGCCAGTGGATTCTTTGGTGCCATCTGGTGGCTGATAAAAGAAAAATCTCTGACCCACCTCTTCCTTCTCCTTTCTGGCTTAGAGTGGTGGGTAGAGGTGAAAATAACTCAGCCTTCCCCAGCCTTTTTGGCACCAGAGACTGGTTTTGTGGAAGACAGTTTTTCCACAGATGGGGTGATGGTTTGGGGATGAAACTGTTCCATCTCAGATCATCAGGCAATAGATTCTCATAAGGAGCATGCAGCCTAGATCCCTCAAGTGAACAGTTCGCAGTAGGGTTCTGTTCCTAGAGAATCTAATGCCACTGCTCATCTGATAGGAGGTGGAGCTCAGGTGGTAATGCTCACTCGCCTGCACTCACCTGCTGCTGTGCGGCCAGTTCCTAACAAGCCATGGACCAGTACTGGTTACTGCCAGGGGGTTGGGAACACCTTCAATAGTTTAAAGGTTACCCCGTCCCCCACAAAAGGGAGGTGCACATACACACAAACACACACACATTTCTCATGAGAATGATCAGGAAAAAATATAAATTTATTTATTTATTTTGAGATGGAGTTTAACTAATTGCCCGGGTTGAAATGCATTGGTGCAATCTCGGCTCACTGCAACCTCTGCCTGCCAGGTTCAAGCTATTGTCCTGCCTTAGTCTCCCAAGTAGCTGGAACTACAGGCCTGCACTACCATGCCCTGCTAATTTTTGTGTTTTTATTAGAGACGGGGTTTCAACATGTTGGCCAGACTGGTCTTGAACTCCTCATCTCAGGTGATCTGCTTGCCTTGGCCTCTCAAAGTGTTGGTATTACGTGAGCCACCTCGCCTAGCCATTTTTCTTCAATTTTTAAGAAGTTGTTTTGATATTTAAAATCAATGTACTGAAATGCTATGTATTCATCCTTTTTAAACAAGTAAGTAAAATGTTTGTGTGCTCTTACAGTGGCAGCTGAATCCATCAGGAGCTTATGGTCTTGAACAAAATGAGCCTGAAAGGAGAGAAAGTAAGTATTTATGTATTGAGGTGAACTTTGTTGCTGAGGAGAAAGGAGATATAGTGAATTTTAATAATCAGGTGATGAAAATTGTTGTGTTAACAGATGGAGCATTTTATTTTTGCAGATTAGATTTTTGCCATTCAATTTGTTCATTAACATTTGTGTGTCTACCATATGCTAGGTGCTATGGAAAGTGCCGATTAATACTTGCTACTATAGAATCTACAAGTTAATACAAATAATTACATACAAATTGACTTTATAAATTAAATGTATATGAAACAGTACGCAACAATGCTCTTCTATAACAAAGCAGAAGCTTACTGGGGAGTGAGAAAGGAAAAATATGTATAATTAGTACAGATGGATCTGGGACCAAATGATGAGGATATATACATTCTTCTAGAGTAAAGCCTCATTTGCCTACATTGGAAATGTTCTGGTTACTTGAATAATCTGATTAACTAAGAATCATCACAGCTACCATAATTAATTACTAATCTTCAAAGCTTTATTATTTGTACACTACTACAGATATTTTGAATGTAATATAATCTTTGAGAAGTCTTACAGTTTCTTAGGCACATAATTTTGGACATGAGTGCTATACAATATTATTTTAAAATAGTAACTATAGGCCAGGCACAGTGGCTCACACCTATAATCCCAGACTTTGGGAGGCCAAGGCAGGCAGATCATTTGAAGTCAGGAGTTTGAGACCAGCCTGGCCAACATGGTGAAACCCCATCTCTACTAAAAATACAAAAAACAGCCAGGCATCATGGCACATGCCTGTAATCCCAGCTACTTGGAAGTTTGAGGCAAGAGACTCGCTGGAACCCAGGAGGCGGAGGTTGCAGTGAGCTGAGATAGTGCCACTGCATTGCAGACTGGGCAACAGAGTAAAACTCTGTTTCAAAAATTAAAAATAAAACAGTATTATCTAATTATTTAGATTCTAAATGGAAGTTTACTGTAAATGGAAGTTTACTGTAATTTTTTTATGACTGTTTTAACCTTGAAAAATCAAGAAATATAAAGGCCTCAGAATAATTTCTCTGTGAATATATTGATTGTGTTCTGAATTAGCTTTATTTTATTCAAATAGAAAATGTATTGTTTGCAATTTGGAAAAAAGTATATATCCACTGTATCTTTCTTTTTAAAAATTAATCGGGGAAAAAAGACTGTAGATGTCTGTCTGTCTGTCTATCTATCTATCTATCTATCTGATTAAATAATGTGTATCCAAAGACAGTGTTTGAAGGGGCCAATAAATCATTTCCTATGTTAGGGAAAGAATACAAAAAGCACAAATCATAAAAAGGTTAATTTATCTATGTTACAAGGAAGAACATCTGTTCATTAAAAGATATAACTAGGCCAGTGTGGTGGCTTACACCTGTAATCCCAGCAGTTTGGAAGGCTGAGGCGGGTGAATTGCTTGAGCCCAGGAGTTTGAGACCAGCCTGGGCAATGTGGCGAAACACTCTCTCTACAAAAAATACAAAAATTAGCCAAGTGTGGCGGCACATGCCTTTGGTCCCAGTTACTCAGGAGGCTGAGGTGGAAGGATCTCTTGAGCATGGAGAGGTTGAGTCCACAGCAATTCATGCTTGCATCACTGTACTCCAACCTGGGCAACAGAATGAAACCCTGCCTTAAAAAAAAAAAAGATATAACTAAAAGAGTACAAAGGTAAACCATGGAATATGAGAAGATATTTGCCACTTATAATCAACAAAGGGCTTGTATCTAGGATTTATTATTTCTTGATCACTAAGGAAAAGGAAGACATGGCTGTGGTTAAAGTCCTAAGATTGAAAGGAGGGGACAAAAGGAAGCCTTCTGGTTTGCTGGCAATGTTTTATTTATTGACCCAGATGATGGTTGCATATGTTTGCTTTGTGGCAGTTCAACTGAACTGTTAAGTTTATGTTTATGCATTTTTGAACAAGTGTTTTATCTCAATAAACAATATCCCCATCTCCTTTTTAATTATATAATAGTTTTATTGATATGTAATTCATATATCAGAAATTTGCTCTTTAGCATATTCACAGAGTTGTACATTCATCACTACAACATATTTCAGAACATTTTCATTATCTGAGAAAGAAGTCTCATGCCCATTTGCAATCACTCCCCGTTCTCCTCTCCCCCCAGCCCTGGCCAACCCACTCTTTCAGTTTTTATGGATTAGTCTATTCTGGCCATTTCATATAAATGGAATCATACAGTATGTAATTCCTTGCCAATTTTTTATTCTGTTGAGAAATAGACACCAGAATCAACAGATGAAAGTTACAACACCAGCTTTGTTGCTGGACTGGGGCTTGACCTTTGGCTAAATCAATATGTCCAACTCCAGAGGGGGACTTACTTCTGGATGCCCTCTCAGTGCCAGTAGCAGGGACAAAAAGAGAAGGGAGGCAGGCAGTGTGACTGACAACTCTCAAGTGCCCTTTCACTCCGTACAAATGGAACCCAGGTAACCCATAACAAGCATTATTTTTAAGGAGTCACAGGGCTTTCAAGAAAATAAAGGAAATAATATCCTAACAACAAAACAGAGGTAAGAAGACATTTTGCTGGAATCTGAGGAGCAATAGTAAGTGAACACAATAGCTAGAGCTACCCTGGAGACAAATGTCCACATAAGCTGGGATCTAAGAGCAGGTCTGGGTCTCTTGCAAGATAGGTGAACTAAACTTAGTTCATCCAATCAACACATGAAAAGATGATTAAACTTATTAGTAGTCAGAGAAATGCAAATTAAGATCACATTGAAGTAGCTTTTTGCTTGTTTGTTTGTTTGTTTTGAGACAGAGTCTCACTCTGTTTCCCAGGATGGAGTTCAGTGGCACAATTCCAGCTTGCTGCAACCTCCACCTCCTGGATTCAAGCAATTCTCCTGCCTCAGCCTCCCAAGTAGCTGGGATTACAGGTGTGCACCACCACATCCAGCTAATTTTGTTCTTTTAGTAGAGATGGGGTTTCACTACGTTGGCCAGGCTGGTCTTGAACTCCTGACCTCAGGTGATCTGCCCCCCTCGGCTCCCCAAAGTGCTGGGATTACAGGGATGAGCCACCACACCCAGACTGAAGTAGCATTTTTTATAAGTATATGCCCTAGAGAAACTCTTGCATGTTGTATAAGAGTCAGAGAGACAAAGAATTTGTTGCTATGTTGTTCTTAAAGGCAAAAACTGGAAATAAATGCTTGTTTTGGGTGATTAGATAAAAAATATTATGGTGTATTCCCACAATGAACTACTGTATAGCAGTGAAAATAAATGAACTAGAGCTACGTTATTCAATATGGATGAGTCTTAGAAATATAAATGTTGAATAAAAAAGCAAGTTACAGAATTTTGATATAATTTCTGTGTAAAGTTCAAAAAGACAAATTATATATTGGTTAAATGTGGTAGGCCAGGCACGGTGGCTCACACCTATAATCCCAGCAGTTTGGGAGGCTAAAGTGGGCTAATCGCTTGAGCCTAGGAGTTTAAGACCAGCCTGGGCATCACAGCAAAACCCCATCTCTACAAAAAACACAAAAAATTAGTTGGGCATGGTGGCCTGTGTCTGTAGTCACAGCTACCCCAGGGCTGATATAGGAGGATCACCTGAGCCCAGGAGGTTGAGGCTGAAGTGAGCTGAGATCACGCCACTGCACTCCAGCCTGGGTGACGCAGACAGACCCTGTTCAAAAAAAAAAAAAAAACTATATGTATATATACACACACACACACACATATATATACACACTTTAATATGTGGTATATATTTTACTATATAGTATATATAGTAAAATTATTGTTAAGAAGCAATGGATTGATAAACACAGAAATCAAGATAGGAGTTGCCTCTGAATGGGGTGAAAGGGATGGGATGAGAGAGGGAGTACATGGGAATTGGTAATGTTCTAGTTGTTGGATTGAATAATATGTTTTCTTTCTTTTCCATTCCCCAGCGCACACACACATAATGTAGTTTTATTCAGCTTTAAGCAAGATTTAACTTTTTGGGGCAGTAAGTTCATGAGTGTTCATTTATTGTTAGCCTTGAGAATTCCCATCTGTATTATGTATATATTGTTATATATTACATAATATATGTAGAGAGAGAATGTTTCAAATATTACATAATATGAAGAGAGAGAGAGAAAGAAAGGGATGGCTTTCCAGATCTACCTCTGGAAGGCAAATCAGAGCCCTGGCCTAGGTGTCCTTAGGACAAGGAAACAGCAGGGGAAAACACACAGGCCTGGGGCTGGAAATCCTTCAAAATATGGGAAGAAAGGGCAGAAGGAAGCTTTTGCAGGTGGTAGATATGTTCATTGTCTTGACTGTGGGGATGGTTTCATGAATGTGTACGTATGTCAGAAATCAAGAAACTGGACTGAGCAAAATGGCTTCTGCCTATAATCCCATTATTTTGGAAGGCTGAGGTGGGAGGATTGCTTGAGGCCAGGAGTTCATGACCAGTTTGGGTAACAGACTGAGAGCCCCCCATCTGTACATATATTACAAATTAAAAAGTAAATAAAAAGAATTCATCAAACTATACACTTTAAATATATTTAGTTTATTGTATACTTTAAACATGCATCATTTATTGTACAAATTAAGATATTAAAAACAAAACCCAGGAAGAGGTTGAAGCCAGACTCTTTTCCCAGCCTGCCCCATCAGATATAAGTCCATCTTCCTTCCAGTCTGCAGATTCTCCCCGTCCCACACAGTCCCTTCCTCCCTTAGGAGATACATTTTGTTTCTTCCAGCCTAGTAATAGGACTTCCCCCCACCCAAAACATAAAACAAAAAGTGTTGTGAATTATTTGCCATACACTGTTGAATGAATTTAGTTTTTGTTTTTGCTTTTTTTTGAGACAGGATCTCGCTGTGTCACCCAGGCTGGAGTGCAGTGGCACAATCATGGCTTACCGCAGCCTTCACCTCTCTGGGCTCAAACAATCCTCCCACCTCAGCCTTCCAAGTAGCTAGGCCTACAGGCGTGCGCCACCACACCTGTTTTTTGTCTTTTTTTTTTTTTAATTGTAGAGATGGAGCCTCTCTATGGTGCCCAGGCTGGTCTTAAACTCCTGAGCTCAAGTTATCCTCCCTCCTCTGCCTCCAAAAGTGTTGGAATTACAGATGTGAGCCATTGCACCCGCCCAATGTGAATCCAGTTTTTGAAAGCCAGATTCCATATTGCCTGAGAGATTCAATTCTCTAACAATTAAGAATCCAAAGATAAAATAAAGTAACAGTTACTTTAACTTAAGCATTGTTTTACTCTTACAACCTATAAGGCTGAAACAAGTGCCCATGGGTTTGAAATGAAGCTGTCCTGACCTAGCGTTATTCTCAATGCTAGACGGTGTGTTGAGATCCGTCCCACAGAAGGAAGAGCAGCACCAGGACAAGAAGCTGCGCCTCGGAATCCACTAAGAAGGCCTGTCTACACTTCAGGGGAGCCTCAAGAACTTTCATTGCACTTCTAAAATTCAGCCTTGTTCATTCAGAAAATAAGGATGGATTTTGTGAATAATTGAAAAGATTTTTTAAGGAAACTAATTTATTTCTAGGATACAAATGGTGTTAATCAGAATATTTGTATTTTAGATTTATGTGTGGGTTTTCCATAATGTAGCAGTGTGTTATTTTATTACACAAAATGAGGGAGCAATAACTTAAACAAATGTAATCACAAGTAGGGACTGATTTCTATTTATCTTGACTTTATATTAGCCAATTTGAAAGGGTCTGCTTCACAGGAGGTCACGCCTCTGCAGGGAATCACACACCTTTTGAGAAATATTAATTCTTTTGAATTACAAGAGTGACAGTTAGTAAACTGTTCCAGGGAAATAAAAGTATCATCTTTAAGAGTCAGTGTATAGCAAACCAAAAGGTCACATTTATACCCAAAGCTTTCTAGTAATCTGAATTTAATTAATTAGGACTCACTCATAAAAATAAAGTTAGTGGACTTGGTCACCATTTTTAAAGTATATTTTGTAAATGTTAATTTTTCTTAAATATTTTCATATGTAGAATCACAATAATGTGTTGGACTGTGATCCTGTTTATCACAGAGTTTGGGTAGCAAGAAGAAGAGAGTGTTATCTGATACAGTGTTGCTGCTTGATCACTGACTCTTGAAATCACTAACAGTGAACCTCAAATTTGGTTATGATGTTAACAGAGAAGAAATATTTGAGTCTGAGATATTGAAACTAACCTTCCTAGAATTCCATTAATAAATGCTGCTTCCCATATAATCTTCCCCTCCATATAATTAGCACAGGTTGTCTCATGGCTTTGATCTTAAAAGGGAAGAGCCTTTTAAAAACATTTGCAAACCTCAAGAATAAATACTAAAAGTCTTGAAAGTGTGGTCATTTCAGCTATTCCAGATTGCTCTCTCTGATTTCTCACATTCTTATTTGCTAAAAAAACTTTCAGAAAATCAATTCCAAAAATGAAGGTACATGTTCTGTTCTCTCCTAGGTTAGAGAGGGAGTGGCCTGGGGTACTTCATGAGAAACGGCTCGCTGGTTCTGTGTGGTCAGGTTTGCCTCTGCTTTTGTTCCCTGCCTTTCCATGATATCACATGGCCTCACTGGGCTTCATAACAGTTTCTCAGAATTACACACAAGACTATCCAAATGTTTCATGCCAGGGCTATGACTGCAGCCTGTGTCGGTCCATGGGGAGTTCAGAGTCATCATACCAGGCAGCCAAGAACTGCCGTAAGCACTACACAGATGGAGGGCATGGGATAGGGCGGGAGAAGAGGCAAGGTACACTTAGAGGTAACTAAGGCTAGTTTGAAAACCACGAGTTGAGATATTCTTATCAGTATAAACACACTGAGATTGCTTACCTCAAAATTGCTTTATTATATTAACTCTCGTGCTTCAGCTCTTGGATTTGTTATTTCTTACTAACATGTCAAGTACACCAAACATTTTATAAATCAGTCAGCAAATAATTTGTAAGACCCAAAAGCCTGGCATACTGCCAGGTGTGTGGATTTGTGTGTTGGGTGTTGAGATGGGATATGAGAGGAAGAAGCATATAAATGGGAAAAACCTGTGTTTAGAACGGAAAATTTGGTATTTCCACAGTACTATTAAGAGAGTAGTGATAATGTCATTTTTTTTTTTTCTGTACAACTGGTCAGATTTCAATAAATAATCATTGACAGTTTACTGTGTAGCTTCAGGTGAAGTCTCTGAGGGCAGGGAGGTGCGTGTGTGTGTGTGTGTGCCCGCTGAACCCCAGTGTCTAGAACAGTGCCTGGCATACAGTAGGCATTCCTTAAATATTTGTTGATTGAATGACTGCTGAACATTGCTAGACCCTGGGGATGAGATGTGTGACAAATGCTTCCTGATCTCAAGACACTCACAGTCAAGTGGAAGATACAAGCATGGAATCAAGTAGTTAGGTGCCATGGCTCACACCTGTAATCCCAGCACTTTGGGAGGCTGACGGGGGTGGATCACTTGAGGTCAGGAGTTCAAGACCAGCCTGGTAAAACTCCGTCTCTATTAAACACACACACGTACTAGCCACGTGTGGTGGTCCACTCCTGTAATCCCAGCCATTCAGGAGACTGAAGCAGGAGAATCGCATGATCCTGTGAGGCGGAGGTTGCAGTGAGCTGAAATTGTACCACTGCACTCCAGCCTGGGTGACAGAATGAGACTTAGTCTAAAAAAAAAAAAAAAGAAAGAAATGTCCCTGGACCAGCAGACTACTTGTTAGAAATGCATACTCTTAGGGTGCACCCTAGACTTACTGAATCAAAACCTCTGGGGATGAGCCCAGCAAGCTGTGGTTTTACTACCCTCTGGGTAATTCTGATGACCTTTAACGATGAGAACTGCCACTGTGGATATAACTATAGGAACATTGGGGGCACACAAGGACTTACCAGCACTCTGGGGAGTCATGGATAGGGGCCTGTAGAGGCAGAGGTGATGAGGTGGGGCCTGAGGGGATCCAGGGATTCAGCAGGCAAACAGTGGGAATGAGACAAACTTCTGAAAGTGATGGAGACAGATGGTGGGGTAGGAGAGTGACTGTGGACGTACTCGAGGACTGCTGAGCCGCCCAGGAGCCTACCTGTGGGAGAGGCTGTGGAGAAGCTCTGTGGGCACTGTTGACCCAGATCTATAAATTCTCAGTGTTCACAGATCCAGATCTATGAATTCTCTTAGCCTGAGAAATCAGAACTTAAAAAAGACAATGTCTTCCTAAATTTCAAAGAATGGGAGGATAATGGTAAGTTCATAATCTGTAAAAAATAACTCTGCCATTTGTTTACTGCCTAAGTGACCACAGAATATGCTGCTGTGAGGGGAGCTAAGCATAAGCATTCACCTGGTTTCCTTCATCCTGGTCATGCAGAGCATACGCAAGTGTATGTATTTTCATTGTATTGCTGCTGAAACTTTTTCTTTCCTTTTTTGAGGCAGGGACTCGCTCTGTCGCCCAGGCTGCAGTGCAGTGCTGCTTTCATAGCTCACTGCAGCCTTGACAGTCTGTGCCCAAGCAGTCTTCCCACCTCAGCATCCCAAGTAGCTGGGACTACAGGAATGCGCCACCACGCCCAGCTAGTTTTTGTTTGCTTTGTTTTGTTTTGTAGATAGAGGGTCTCACTATGTTGCCCAGGATGGTCTTGAACTCCTGACCTCAAGCAATCATTCTGCCTCTGCCTCCCAAAGTGCTGTGATTACAGGCATGAGCCACTGTGCCTGGCCAAGTTAGCTTTATTTCTGGATCAATGAATGGTACCAACACTCTTTAAACATGAACTCTGTCTTTAGTGACACTATGATACATAAATGAGCTTATTGACCCTGGAATGTGTATAACTAAACCCACGTAACACTTGGGAAGGAGAAGGAAAGAAGTGAGCCCATCTTGGGACAGGAGCTCCTTGGTGAGCGTAGCACAAAGTGATTTGTTATGGAAAGTACATGTCTTTTCAGAATGACATGAGCCAGACTTTCCTGGAATACTTCCCACCACCCCATGCATGTCAGAAATTGGGGGCCAGTCCAGGATGAATGAGGGAGAAACCACAGTTCATACCAGTGCTGACACCCACACCCAGAGAGGCCCTGGCCGGGGATGTATCCCAAGAGCAGAAGGTAGAGGGAGGAGGCTGGTAGGAGTTCACTTTCTGTGGAGTGAAACAGCCTGGCTTTACCTAATGTGTGGTGGGGGCTGGGGTGGTTTGAATAGCTTGAAGTACCTTGTGTAGTGTGTGCGCATATTCACAATGTTAGAAAAAAACAAAAACAAGAGCTAAGCCAGAAGTTTTGAAATACTGTGGTGCTTGATGCTGTTGAGTTGCAAGAAAGGGAAGCCCATGAGCCGGAAGGCTTCTGTGTAGCAGATCCTAACTCCTGACCAACTTTGTTTCACCCATGATGATAATCAGCGGAGGTTCTCCAGGTTCTTTTCTTGAACATGCCACAATTCATTAACAAATATTTGCAAGGGCTTAGCTTACCATGAGCCAGGTGCTATGAGGAGTACAGATACAGTGGTGAGCAAAACCAGACACAAACCCTCCCCTCGTGGAGTTTATAGTCTAGTTGGAGAGATGGACGTACATCAGATATTCAAGAAAATGAATGAAAGGTACGTTACACTGAAAAGAACTGGCTTCCCAACAAATACAGGCATATGTTTTTTCAGTTCTTCCACTTCACAGAGATTGGTATTATGATAATCATGTTGGCACCATGGGCTGCACTTAGTGGATCCAGAAAGTTCTACTAGTTTGGGTTTTTTTTTTTAAAGATATCCTACACGCTTAAGCAGGGCATCTTTTGGAAACCTCTGGAAGGTGAGTGTAACACACTTGTGGAAAACTCTAGAAGGTTTCCAAAAGATTTCCACATCTTTCAAAAAATGCATTAAACATGCAAATAGGGCTGGGCACAGTGGTGCACACCAATAATCCCAGCACTTTGGGAGGCTAAGGCGGGTAGATCACTTGAGGTCAGGAGTTTGAGACCAGCCTAGCCAACATGGTAAAACCCTGTCTCTACTTAAAAAAAAAAAAAAAAAAAAAAAAACCTAGCCCACTGTGGTTGTTGCAGAATATTCAGGAGACTGGAGAGACCAACAGGTGATTGGTCAGCAGATTAGCATCCCAAGGCTGAGCAAAGGAGAAAGAAAATGGGATACTTTTTATACAACCAGGGTGACATAGCAGCTAACAGCTTTACAGAAGCCAGAACAAAGAACAGTTAATTTGTAACATGTCTTGTAATTTGTAGCATGTAAGAATGTGCAGCACTGTACAAAGAACAGTTAATTAATTTGTAATATGTAAGAATGTACAGCACTGTACATTCTTTGGGTGTTATCTTGCCCTGTGACTTTGCAGCTGGTTAGCAAGAAAAACAGAAGTCTTGAGATACCTGGGAACTTTGCTGAGAATGTGGGAGAATAGATAATGTAGGTTTTACAGGGAGTTAGTTAATTTTAAGCAGAGCTGGGGATTCGGTTTTATATTAAACAGCACACAACACAGCAAAATTTACTTTATATACAACTACAAATTATACGGTTTTGTTTTTACTATTAACTCCCTTATTCATGGTGACGTGGGCTTATAATCTCAGCTTCTCCAGAGGCTGAGGCATGAGAATCACTTGAACCCAGGAGGCAAAGGTTGCAGTGAGCTGAGATCGTGCCACTGCACTCTACTCCAGCCTGGGTGACAGAGCAAGACACCCCCCTTCAAAAAAAAAAAGAAGAATACGACCAGGACCTTTAACCTCAAGATTCTATGTCTTGTCAGGGTGGAAAAGATATATGTAAATAAGTATAGATGTGATTAAATAAGTTTTAATAACAAGCAGGGGAATTTAGAGAAACTGTACCAAGCATTAAATGTATTGTTTTTAGTAACCAGAAATTCCTTTTATGGATGTAATTAAGATTTTATAGTGTTTGAGAGGCCAAGGCAGGGAGGCCACTTGAAGCCAAGAGTTCAAGACCAGCTTGGGCAACATAGCAAGACCCTGTCTGTGCAAAAAAAAGAAAAAAACCTAAAAAATTAGCCAAGTGTGGTGGTGCACACCTGCAGTCTCAAGTTGCTAGAGAGGCTGAGGTGGAATAATCACTTGAGCCCAGGAGTTCAAGGCTGCAGTAAGCTATGCTTACACTGCTGCACTCCAGCCTAGGTGACAGAGTGAGACCCTGTCTCAAAAAACAAACAAAAATAATGCAAGCAGTACTCTACTCTCAGATATGAGTGTTTCTGTTGACCAGGAATTTTTCCATTCCTGGTTCTTTTTGATGCTTATGAAAGGACATCGTTTCTGATGAGCAGAATGTGCTTTAGTGTAATCTGATGAAGAACTCCTATGCTGGTTGTGGTATTGGTAGAAAGTGTTTTATTTTGCAGAAAAAGCACAAGCTCCACAGAGGGCAAAACGGGGGATTATTTCAGTTATCTATTGCTGTATGACAGACTACCCCCCAAAACTTAGTGGCCCAAACCACTATTTTATTTTGCATGATTCTATGAGCCAGGAATTTGGGCAAGATTCAGCAGGATAGCTCCACTCCCTATGGTGCTGGCTGAGGTCACTCATGATTGTGTGCCCCTGGTGGGTCAGCTGAGATGGGGGCTCAGCCGGCACAGGGACAGTGAGGCTAGACCATCCACGGGGCTTCTTTCAGGTTTCCGGCACCTCACCTTGAATGGCAAAACAGCTGGGTGCTGGCCAGGGCTCTCCAGCAGGGTGGCCAGACCTCTATGAAGTGTCCAGGGCTCTGAAAGTGAGTGCTCCACAAGAACGAGCCCAGCGTGTCCCCTGCATCATACTGGCTCATGGCTCATTGGCCAAGGCCAGTTTCATGGCCACACCCAGAGTCCATGTGGAGGCCCACACAGGACATGGAACCAGGAGGTCTAGTTCCCAAGGAACCACGAAAGTAACATTCACCACAGGGATGGAGCAGATCACTGAAGGGAATGCCACTAGGAAGGGAGCCCCATGTCCTGGCCCCTGAGCAGAGTTCTGTCCCCAAGACCATTACTTCTCATGGAACTTTTCACCTCCCTCACTCACAATTACGGCAATGCTAACAGTCACTGCAGACAATTCTGAGAACCTTCAAATTGAAGCACTCATGGTGTTTCCTAAAAAGCTGCAGTCTAGCCAGGCGCGATGGC